TTGTATTGTTACCTTTACATGAAGTGGAAAATCCATTCAAAAGTTGGTATGTTACAGTGAGAGAAATGTAGTACCAGACTCAACTGCCTGAACAATGCAGATTTCACTCAATTTAAGCTGAGCTCCCGTCTCGATGCAATTCCCTCTGGTTCTCAATAGATGTCTTTAAATTCCTTTTTAAAGAGGTAAATAACCTCTCTTACAACCACTAATGGCCTTCACACACTGCCAATGAGATCAATCGAGTCAATCTAACCTTTTGTCTATTTGCCCAGCTTTTGGCTGAAAATGTTGATGGTTTGGTGATTACACACAACATCACATAGTCAGGGAGTTTTACTGGAGTCCTTCATCAGTAACTCAAAACACATATGTGATAATATTGCTCTCACATACAAAAGTTCAGAAAATCTATGAAACATTGTCTGTCCATTTTCAAAAGGTTGACACAAAGTTTAATCTACTGCAATGTCAAGTTCTTGCAGCTTAAAGACAAAACACATAGCACAAAGATGCTAAAATGAATTCTGCTTCAAACAATTGATTATTATTGACTTACACAGATGGTATTTCTTTGATGGGTGGCCTCATAACACAGTGGCAGCATCAGCAGCCGCTGCAGTTTTAACAGTAAATCTCATTTATGTTGCCAACTGCTGGTTCATTTGATTATCATTGCATAATGCAGAGCTATTCTAAAGTGCTGGTATCTGTTGTCACGGAGATAGTGTTTATCAATGTTTATCACAGGGGCTTAAGGATTTTTACTGCCCACCAATGAAGCAGATTATACATTGTTCTTTGTAATAGTACAGTAATGAAAAATTATGTTTGTAATAAGCACAACTTAGATGCTGCTTTTGTTTTTTGAAAGAAATAAAAGTAAAAATATGCAAGAAAACTTTTTATACTTGCTTTTGGCACAGTGGCCCAAGCCCGAGCCACTTAGGATGATGCGGATGCTTAGACATACTTGGTTTCCAGTCTGTGCTGGATTACTCTTAAGTCTCATTGTTTTGGGGCTTTAAGTTATTATATCCTCCCCAAAAATATATTTATTTAAAAAGCGGTTGATTGTTTTTTTTTTTCCACTTGGAATTTGGTTTGCATGCATCAAAATGTAGTTTTCCTGCTGCAAGTAGATTCTAATCACAGCAGGATGTGGTGGAAGTTTTTTTTTTTTTTTTTTTTTAACAAAACAATTAGATCCTGTAAAGATATTTGAAAATTTTCACTTTATCTTCTGGCGAGGAGTAAATGCTAGTTATCCACCATCTTCTCTCTGTAGGCTGTGCTGTCCACCAACTAACTGGCTTTTTTTATGAATAATGGTTTTAACTTTTCTTTGTCATCCATCCAGAAGCCCCTCAGAGGCCACCAACGAGCAATGCCTTGGCCCAAACATTGGAAAGAAATCCATGGAGTGTGAGTGGGTGAGAATGGACAGGTTAATCTATCCCTGAATGCACACAGACACACACATACTGTATCTGTGTGCATTTAGGAATAAACTAATCTTAGCATGCTAGCTCTGAAAGGTAAAAGGCCCACGTGTTGCCAGATTGTTAGGCAATCAGGTAAATGATGACAGACTAAACTGAAAAACAGGGGCACAGGTGGCATTGGACAACAATGTTCCAATAAAATGATCTCCAACAAACCTAAATTAATTAAAACCTAATTTAACGAATGTATCCAAAGTGATTTTAAAAGCAGAAATACATGGAAAAAGTAAACAACAACCCTCCAGAGTTGGCTTGTATAAAGAAGTCATGGCTTGATCCAAGGTAGTTGGACAATACAAGAGTAACCTTACATGTTGTACCACAATTTACCTGGATATTAGTGGAATGAGTTCCCTTATGGTTCTCATGTATCAGAGCGTTCTCTGAAGTGGCACGTAGTTGTAGGTGCGTGCAATCAACAGCACCAGGACCCCAGAGAACCCAAATTTTGCCAAAAACTCCTTTTTAGCCCTTTCTTGGCTGGCAGGTGTCATGGGAAATGTAATTAAATAAATAGCATGTTGAACTAGGCTTGTTGTGCTTGTCCAAGCTTACAGGAGATGATGACATACTTTCAATAGAACACAGAGGATGCTGGAAGGACCCATTTGCATGCACCCTTTACTGCACTGTTGACTTTTGACCAGGTTTTTGTTGGTCAATGGCGCAATGGCTTTTTTGCTTCCTCAAGATAGTAATCTGTCAACAATGCCCCTTACCACACCTCATTTTATGAGCAACACTCCTATGGGCACACAAATGCTACTTACACAATGTAGGCACTGGGTGTGATAATGATGCTGGAAACTAGCAATGACTCTTGCACCACACTTTGTGCCGGGTGCATGATAGGGCCCTTAGTAAGCACTGAATTTGTGATTTATAGGTGTAAAGATGTCTAGATTACAGCCAGACTGAATTTAATAAATAATAAATTAAAAATACATTTTGCAGACATCTAGGTTATATACAATCATTCATTCAATAGTATTTCAGTGATTGTATTTAGGACCTGTCTCAGCATAGTCATTTAAATACTGTTGACATTGTGTTAAATAACTAATTATTATTTAATTTTATTCCTATACCCATTATTTTCTCTCTGAAATAAAGATTCTGTAGTCATAGTCCTATTGTCACCATATTATGACTCACAGCAACCTTCCTATCAGTTGCTTGTAATATTACAGACCATGCACGGATTGTCACTCTGAATAAGGGTATTAAATGTATAAAATGAAATGTAAAATAATTATAGTTTAATTCTGAACAGGGAAGTTGCTGACGGCTCAGTCTGAGCTTGGCAAAAAAGTGTGCGAAGGTTGGGCTGCATCACAATGAATACATCTTTGCCCTTTTAGAGTCTCCAATAAAGAAATAATCCCCTTCATGTCATGCTTGAAACAATGAATTTGCATATTTCGACAGCGACCTGGCCCATTCACTGCTGTAGACTTGGTGATGAGGCCCTCACACTGCATGGTGTGTGAGCCAAAATAATCAGACGGAGACATGGTGAATTGCTGTGTATTCATACTGACTGATTTTTGAAACTCGTCTCCCCTGATAGAATCACACACCAACAACAAAGTGACAAAGGGTATAAATGGAGAGACATGGTGCAAGGGGTTGTTTTTAATACTTTCATAAACTGTTATGAGTGCAACCTTGAAACGCCCCCACCTACATTCAGCGAGTCATTCATTGATCGCAGGCTCCGCATCAAAGACCATTCTTATTTCCATTTTAAACCATCTGGGCGAACACCACCAGTGGAAATGAGTTGACAGGTTCACAGAGGGAGACTTTGATTGAAATGCTACCAAAGCAATCAGTTGTTACAGAGTGCCATTAAGCCCTAGGGTGTTTGAAAACAATTATGACTGGGAGGTTGACTCTTTCTGAACTATTAAACAAATTTGATTGAAAACCCTTTGCATCGATAGTGGGCTGCCATGCGAAGTGTCCCAAAGTCATAAAAACTGTTTGTGTGAGCGTTGTTGTAAAAGCCATTTCAAATCTCTCGCCACAGCTTCCTGTTCGAGACAGGCGAGTGGATAATCACAACCAGTATGCTGCCAATGTGAGGCAAAGCTTTAAGTAGAACAAATCTCTTTAGGTATATCTGGTATATCAATTGTGGACATTAAATCCACATTTTCTCTCCAACATATTTGGATCCCAAAGTTATTTAGTACAAATTGTTATATGGTTTAGTGATGTCTTCTTTGTAATTTCAACAAATTAGGAACTTATTATTCATTTAGAGATGGAGACCTTTGTCAGGATTGGCCTCTATCAATTAATCTTTTTAAACTTTACAATAATTATTTTAGCTTGGTATTAAATTAAAGCAGAGGTTACACTGTATTTGTGGATTTCAATTCTACATCTCACCGAATTGTGTGGATAAAAGAAATGCACATCAGCTAGCAATCCAATCACAAACTGGATTCACTGTTTCCAAAGTTGAAAATGATAGCAAGATATTCACAAAGGCTTTTCATTTATTTCCAAATCAACAGATGTGTTTAAATTTGCATTTCACAATTTTTTTTGGAAGGTGGTTTATATTTCCGGTTTACACATAAATTGTCGATCTGTTCATACAAATAATATTGAGACAAATTGATCTCCATAGAAATGCAACGCAGTGTGACTTGTTTATGTTGGCTGCTCCGATGCTCTTAGCTTCGGTGCTGTATGTTAGAGAAATCGGCTGAATTACTTTTGAGCCACACTTCCCCTACTGCCGACCAGTGTGATTGACAGAAGCTCTTTGTGGTGCTATAGGATGTTATGAACTATACTAGACAAGGATGCACACTTATTTCTGCAACATGAGACTCGTGTAGGCTGTTACAGGAGGTGAGTGTGGCTGAACTGTGGCCATGAATTATATAGCTATTTCTCATAATAGGTAATGTATAACGGAGAAATAGATACCATCAACAACAAGCACATGACTTGTTTGTGGCTCTTACTACTTCCTCACTTTGTCTGTCTGCCTTTTGGCACAGGGCAGGTCTCAAAGAGGTTGCCTGCAGTGGCTGGAAACAAGGTGGGGCCAGAAAATCACACCAATGACATGAAAGACACTAAAATGATTCATAGTGCAGTGAAAAACTGAAGAAAAATAGAAAAAAAAATCAGAGTAGTTTTAACATTTGTATGGGTATGAAAAAGCAGAACTTCTTCCAACCAGGAACTCATTTCCTGATCACGTCAACACACACAAAAAATTTGTTCTGAAGTTTGAATTCAGTGTTGAGTAAACAACCAGCAATATCGTGACGGGGGTCAAACAGCATCTACAAGTTAATGTAGAATGCTATTTGGGTAATGACAGAATATTAACATCCAAAGCAATTATGTAATTAGGAAAGGCTAAATTTCCCAAACAGTCTCCTTTCAGCTCTATCCTCTTGGACTCGATTTGCAATTATCTAGCTAACTGAATGCCTTAAATGTAAAAAAAACAATATTATCCAGATGTCAGTTTTCTATAACATCTTTATTTAAAAGGATTTACAACACAAACTGGCAGCACTCAATTTAAATGGTATCTTTTTTTTTATCCTTAGTTCTTCTGCACAACTTGTACTTTTGTACAAACATACACACAAAATCTGTCCCTTCAAAAAAAGGTTTTTTTAAGTCTTTTAAAAAGAAAAAAAAATAGTTTAATAGAAAGACAGGGATATATTCTGGCAGTTCAGTATGTTTGTGATCTTCATAATATGGGTAATTCAGTGACCCAAAAGACTCTCAGACCAGTATTAAATTGTAGTATGTATATGAAAGGGTATACTGGGTGTAAGTGTTCAGTTACCTTCCAAAAACAAACTCAAAACTGGGTGGAGGACAAACAATTGGATAAAACTAGTAGAAAAAATACATAGCAAACAAAAGGTTGTAGTTGTCCGTTGAAATAGAATGTGGCAACTCAATTAAATGTTTAGATTACTTTGATGTGATCAATGGTTTATGTCCGCTTATTAGAGAAATTCTGACATGACTTGCATTGTTAACTTGTTGTACACTATTCGCTAGTGTGTTTAGACCCATAACATGTTTTTTTCTACAGTTTCCGTCCCATGCTTTATCTGGCTAATTGACTGCTGTAGAGTCAAAACTGAGTCATATAGAAATACACTTAAATAATTGGTTACCATAATATATTTGATCTCTGGTCATATGAAATAATTTGACTTCCTGTGTCTGTTATACATTTGTAAGGAAATTTGAAGCTTAGAAGCTGGCGGCAAAACATATTTTAGTCACAGTGAATCATTTTTAGTGAATTAAATATGTTGTTACTTGGCTTTTTGACATTTAAAAGGTATGAAACACCGCTTGAGTTTTTGCACTGAAGTAGTAAAAATAGTGGATGAATCATTTTTGTACGTGGACTTTCAACTTCTGGATTGTTGGTGGTCAGACTGCGTCAAAATGGCAGAAAGTTGTGCTTGTGCTTGCTTGGCTTAAGATAAGAGGACCTCTGCCAGGTTAACACATAACAAAGCCACTTTGACACTTGACATTAGTTGGGGGGGGCAAAGGTATTTCGGATCTATTCTCTCTTGGCTGCATGAACTGGAACTAGTAAAACTGCAACACTGGCTTAAAAAGGAAGGCATAACAATGATACAATGGCTAGAATAAACTTAGGCCATATGAGATCAAATGGATGGAAGATAATGATGCTGCATGTTGTTACATGACAGTGATGACTGGTGAACAGTGCAGTACAGTGGTCACAAGTCCAGGATAGGATTATAACTTTCCTGTCAACTGGCAGCAGAATTCACCAAACCATGGCACTGTTACCATCTGAAGATTTGCTTTACTTGTGATTTCCAGATGAGAATTTTAGCTACCACCCTAAAGAAGTTCCCCTTCCAGTTCATTCAATTCCCAATGTGAATTTAAACTGCCAATGTCAATGTACCAGCAGTCTCCTAAACACAGTCTACTTCCTCAAATGACTGATGTGACAGTAAATAGACTCCAAACCCTGGTGCCATCTGGAAAAAGGTGTGTTACAAATGCTAGAAGAGTAGAATGAGGAAAAGAAGATGCGCAAAAAAAATAAAGTACATTGTGGAAGGTGGAGAAAGTTTAGGCAGGGGAAGTGACTGATCCTTCTGCTGGCTGGGAAAAAAGAATCTACAATAGGTTCTGATGAACAAAACCCCCAAACCTTTGTATTAAAATAGGAAAGGTTATATAATGTAATCTACAATTGCAGATAACTGCATAAACTCAAACTAAATAAAAACGCAATATCAAATTCAGCAGCCCACAATTAATTACACCAATAAAGCTTTAAATTGACCTAATGAGGAAAATTATTCACTCACTTGATTATTCATAATTTATAATTAATCAACAAAGTTGTTGAGTTATCATTTAAACAAACATGTGCAGTCAGTCTTTGTGTGAAACCACCAGATGGCCATATAGTCACTTTCCCTTCCTGTAAAGGAGATGAGGCGAGCTGAAGAGAAATGGAAGGTTTTAGGCGGTGCCTGCTGCTCCTGCAGGCACCGCTGTAGAGATTGTTGCAGTGTTCAGTCCTTTCCCTCGATGTCTCTGACCACCTCTTCTGCGTCCTCCACCTCCCGACTTGAGCTGCAGACAGAGAGGAACACCACAGTTCAGATATTAAAGATGCATTTATGAGAACTTAAAGGTTTAAGAGGGTAAATAAAAACATGCTTCAAGTTTTACATAGGGGAAGAAATAAAATTATTTCATCTGACATTAGCAGGTGTGGTCTCCATTTCAGGGTGGGTGACCCACCTCCACTCTAACACACTGCTGAAAACCAGACAATTCTTACTTTATCCAATGTCAGTACTTCAAACCTTCAAAAACATATGGTCACATTTAAATATTAAATTCCATGAACAGGGGGGAACCTGAATAAATTGAAGAATAAATTGAGAATATATTGGTTCCATAATCACAGAAAAGGGGAGAAAGAAAAGACAGTACAAGCCACAAAGTTTATTTGTTTGTTTGTTTTAAAAGGCAAATACCTCAGCTCTAAATAAAAAACAACACTGGGGTTCAGCAACTACTTCAACAATTGACCCTTCGCTAAGCCACACCCCCGTCTGACTTGTCTGACATTTATCACGGCACTACCATTGTCTCTGTTACTGCACTCCCTGGAGTAATGCTGTACAATTTCTGGAAAAAGCAATCTCAGAAAGAAGCAGACAGTTTTGCAGTTGCATTGTGTATTTGAAGGTTGTTTTCAGTTTGTCAAACTGACGCGGAAAAAATGCTGATAGAAGCTAAAGCCTACCGATCACAGAGTGAAAGTGAACAGCATCACCTGATGATTGAAACAAAGGACAACGATATTAAGGATTAACACTGTTCCTGTACAGCTGGGTATTACAATTATTAAAAAGCCGACCAGCGGGGCTTTATAAAGTTATATTCAGTAGTAAGTTAGCTACTGTTAGCTAACACTACATTAGGAACAATCTACAGCCTACATTTTTCTGGACATGTTTTATGTTTTGGAAAGGGAATTAATTGTATTTCTCCTTTCAATCTCTCTGGGTAGCGACTGTTACTATTACAAGTGGTCCAGGAACAGTGTTTGATCATATCTCGGAAAAACACAGCAAAAAAAAGCTAGAAAACGAGTATGAGTCAATGGAGCGCAGCCATAAAACCTCAGTTAGAGCGAGCCCTCTACTGCACTGTGATTGGCCAGCTGCATATTTGGGTTGTGACTTAGTAAAGGGTCAATTAAACACTTAATGAAGCTGCTCAGTAGCCGGCAGATAAACACTGCAGTTGTGCTCTACTAGAGTAACTTTCAGGTGTAACTCTGTGAAACTGGGAATATAAAATAGGAGTTTGCATGCTCAAAAAATATTGGTTGAAAAACTTTAAAAGTGAAGAAACCAAGAAAACATCCAAGACATGGACCTCGTCACGACCCAAACAGTCTGCAGAAATTTCTTTACCTTGTTTTCTTTGTTCCCATCCTTACATAGAGCCTCCTCCTCTGCCACTGTCTGACGAAGCATGCCAAGACAGGGAGAGAGGGAGGGAGGAAAAGCAGGAGAGATGGAGCAGAAAAGTGTTAAAAATTTAAGCAAAGAGCGTGATGTGCAGAAGAAGAAAAGAGGAGGGGTGAACATCAGATGGGAAACGAGGAGGTGAGTGAATAAGATAGAATGATGAGAAGACCGTAGAAGATAAAAGCAGTTTGTTATGACCAAGTTAAGAAGGTAAATAAAAGGAGAATTGGGGGAAAATAATAATCACATGATTGAGGGATGAAACAACAGGTAAGAGAGCGAACAGTGAAACGGAATTAACTATTTAAAGAGTCAAGAAAATAAAACAAGTAGTTAGGGGTGGGTGATCTAGCCGAAAAATAATATTACGATCCACAATCTTAAGTTTGTTTTTCTCAATTTTGAAATGCCCTGTAGACTATAGCCAGACCTGAAACAGCCCATGGATTTCTCCATTTGCACCATTATAACATTAGAATAATATAATATTGCATAAAAGATACTACGTAGGTTCCAAAATGGTAATAAATATCTGAGTTTAACTTGAAGTTGTTGAACAGAAGCCAAAAGATAACATAATCATAAAACACTTTTCCAGCACTCACAACTTATGTGCATTGTTTACAATACGTCACCCAAGGGAGAGTTACGTGAAGTAATATGTCAGCTAAGCCAGAAAGTTGCCTACATCACTCTAATGGTTTGTTCACTTTGCGTGGATCAGCTAGTCAGTGAGATTATGTGAAGTTTGGAAACAGAAGCAAAAGGACTTTAAATACCGCAACCTCTACGATTTGCCTGAAAAGTAGATTGTGGACGCCGTAGATCTCGATCTAAAATCGTCAGATTGCTCACCACTACCAGCAGTATTTAAAATGGTAATGTGAATATTCTGCTTCAAACACAGGTCTGTTTGTTGTAAAAACAGAAAAAAAAGAAAAAAGAACTTGCAGCAGCTTTACAAAAATGTTTGAATATAATCTTGCATTTATTTTTTAAATGTTATTAAATATGATAAATTAAATAAAGAATGACAGGAAAACTCAACTCTAAATCTTTTTATCATAAATCAAGGATAATTGTCCTGCAATATGTAATTATATTGTCAGTTGTTTTAAACAAAATGAAAAAGCAATACAAAATGACCAAAATATTGAGTATTAAGACAGAGGATTCATTTTTTGATCCTTAAAAACAGTGATGCACAGGGCAAACTCTGCCCATGACTTTAACTTAAAACATGTTACAACCAAAAAATCTCTCTCTTGTTTTCCTTAAAACTTATTACACATTATAAATGGTTATTGGAGCATGGATTTACTCACTGGAAGCTGTGCTGCGTTAGGACTAGGTGGCCGTGCTGTTGATCCAGCCTCTTCATTAGCTGCTGTGCCCTCTTTAAAATACTTCTTACTGGCCTGCATCTTGGCCTGCTGGGCCTTAGCTGCCTGGGTGTTCACGGATTGGAGAAGCTGAAATGACATGCACAGCCAGGGTCAGTTAACCTGCATTAATCAGAGTTTTTGATAATCGACACTCAAATGACACTCATCATGTAAAAGGGGCCACTTTCAGAGTGCTGAGATCCCACGTCTACACTGAAATACAGAAGTTACCATACGCTCGAGTACCTTTGTGATGGTGCCCACAGCTTTGGTGCGCCCTTCCCTGAACACCAGTTTCTGGTCACAGTGCAGGTACTCAGGAGTCTTAATAAAGCGGAAGTGGACTGTGGCTTTGTCCCCTGTCCGCAGACAGTCTTTGTCCATGGTCAGGATGGTGGCTGTCTGCCTGATGCTGCCACAGTGGACTGGTGGGATAAAGAGAGAGTGTGACCCAGGTCGGTCAAACCAAAGACTGCATAAAAGGGTGCATATCAGTGTGGAAGGGATTTGACTGTGTTGCCACTAACCCATGGCCTGGTATCTCGGGGATATCGTGGTGGGGTGGTGTAGCACCAAAATCTCAGCCTCAAACTCCCAGGTGGCCTGTGGCATCAACTTTGGGGAAACCATCACCATGCCTTTCCTTATAGATGAACGTTTGATCTGTGACAACAAAAAAAACAAACAAACAAAAAAAACAGAAGGAACAGAAGTGAAAAATAAAGTTGGGGAAAGTGATGAAGCCAACCCAGAATTAGAAACAGTACACTACCTAAACCCACACGCTGGGATTTGCATTCATTATAAAACTGATTATAAAGTTAGGAAACTAATTAATATGCATATCGCATCCAGAAGTTTCAGGATAATTATCCTTTTCAGAAGCTTTTAAAAAACATAACTTTGTGTCAGATTGTCAACTGTTTTTGCAATAAAGAAGATTTAAAATGTTCTATCATGGCAGTAATTCAGCCAAATTTTTCTCCCACAAATAGGGATGTTAATGATTAATCAATAGTTAGTTAATTGCTATTAAGAATTTAACTGATTAAAATGTATTAAACAGACATGTATATTTTGTGTACCATTTTTTCTCAGAGCTCAAGTTTATTAACTTTTATACCACAAGAGGGTGTACTTCACCTTTGCAGTTCAGAAAAACTACTGGTGCGTGTTGAGGCAAGATAAAAGCGAGAAATGCAGTCCAGCGTGGGAGTACTACACTGTAAAAGAGGACAATACTTAATGTAAATATTGCGACAAATCCGGTACAACGTCAATGTCGTACCACCTGAAAAGTCAGCACTTCACAGCTGTTCAAATCAAAGGGTTTGCTTTATGATGGAAATGGACACGATGCCTATAAACGTGGTGGACGGTGAGGGAGTTTTGTCAGCTTGTGAACAAAACTGAACCAGGCTAACGTATTGCTATTGGCGCTGAGAAGTGGTACAACGAAAAAAAAAAAAAGAAGACGTTAAGGTGTACTGACTTTCAGCCGACAAGGTGTCTGTAACGACTGACTGTTGGGACTTAGTTATATGCAGAGAGCTCTGTAACAGTTACAAGCGACTTCATCAACTGGCATTTGAAATCAGCGGTCCTGCTAACCAAGGCCATACCAGTCAGACACACAGCAGACAACCTAGCTGAAAACTTGGACGAGGCTGTGGGGGCTGGCCGGTCCAGTTCAAATTGTTTGTGCTTCATGAATTAATGCGCCACTAATGTGCCACTAGAATTGTTTAAATAAAACAAACTGAGAAACAAACGTGCGTTTTTATCTTCTTTTTTTTTTACTGTAAACATGTCCAACTGATTAATCGATTTATCATTTTTCAACTATCAGTTAGGCAAACAGAGAGAAATCTGCAACCTGACCCACAAACCTTTTTGAGGGCAAAGGACGCCGTCTGTCCTCCCCGAACCTCTCTGACAGGCATCCTCTTGCGGTGGATGGATTTAACGGCGATGGGGATGAAAGTGCCCAGTGGGTCTGGGCCTAAGAGCAGCGTGTCGTTGAGTCGTATCATTCCACGTAACGTAGTGCCTGAAACTACTGTGCCCACACCCTGCCAAGAGAAGAACAATGGGTCATTTTGGTTCACTGCGCTTCTTTCCCTGGTTGCTGTGGTCATCTGCAGAGACAGTCTTCATAAGCCTCCATTAGTGTGAAACCTTGAGTGTATACTTCTCTTCAAAGTATGTCTGTACATTCAGGATGTAGCGTAAGTGTAAACAGTTCAAGCTGTGAAAATTCACACCTTACGATGAATTTTCACATGACACCCACAATCGTCTTGTTATATTCAGAAAGAAGTACTCTGTGTAAACTATTTTCACTTCTATGCCAACTGCCACAGCTTTCACTCAAGTGGCATATAAAGAAAAAGAAATGTTTAAGCTTTTGTGAAGTGTGCTATGGAAGCGCACAAAATGTGCTTGTTTTTGTATTCTGCTCTGCCGTTAAAAGCTGTGACAGACTGGCTGTCCAAATAAAAACACTGTCTCTTATACACTGCTATTGCAGGTGTCTCTCAGAAGCAGAGACTCTCAAAACTGCTGTTGTCTCCCCTCAGGGCTTGATTTTAACATTTGGACCCCTGTCAACTTCTTGTGTTTGGTCAAGCTGCTCCTGTTGGCAACCACTTTAATGTGTTGACAAGAAAAGTGAGGAAGCAGAAAATAAAATAGACTGACTATGAGCTATAATGAAAAAACATCTTAAAGTGTATAGCTAGTGTGTGTTTTATTTTGTACCGGTACTGAGTATGTGTCGTCTATTTGGAACTCAGCAGGCTCATCGTTGCTGAAGTTGGTCCTAGATGAGAGGAGGTTGAGGAACATCTTCAACAGGTCCATGTTCTCTCCCGTCACATTTGAAATTTGAAAGATTGGACACATTCTGCAGAGAGAGAGAGTCAGAGGAGAAAAGAATGACTCTTCAAAGTATCATCAAACGTACCAATACAGAAGAGACAAGATGTCAGCAAGCATCTGCACTACTTGCTGACACACACATGTCCTTGAGCAGGACTTGTGAAGGGATGGAAGATTCCCTATAGGGATTGCTAAACCAGCATGAATATTTGCACAAATTTGTTCAAATTAACTTGGAAATGTTTAAAAATCTTCCATGTGGATTTCATTTCATTATAATATAATCCTTCTTCAAAACAGTAGTAAATAGTAAGTAAACAGTAAAGTAACAGTGAACAAAGGCAATGTGACTTAATACATTCCCACACTGGGCTGTACTGAAGGTTTTATTCTGAAGAATATTCCACTATTCACAGATGTTCTGTGGTTCAGCCTTTTGTGAAATGTCAAATGAAGAATTATCAGAAAAAACAAAACAAAAAGAATGTTTTTAAAACTGTGGATAGTTTTTCTTATATTGGATAATATGTCTTCTGATTACTGCGTGTAATCTCACAGGATATTTTATCATTAGCTGTACCACGTGTTCAAACGGAGCATGGAAGAACTGGTTTCAGTGACTACGCTCCACACAAATGGAATGGAGTTACAAAAAACTATTTAACTAAAATCTCACTTAATGATTTTAGAAGACATCAGTCAAGTACTTGCAATTCCACTAGTAATTGCTGATAAATTCAAACTAAACTTGCATGAGTGAATTTTCCATCTGTCCACACTTACACTATATGTTTATTCTTGTGCACTCTTAAAGAATAGTGATCAACATCACAACATGCATTCAAGGATTAAATAAAAAACTATTCTTTGTAGCTTTTTATTACATCATCTCTTTTCCTTTCTATGCGTTTCTCAATGAGAGTGTTATTTCTCTCCATATTTGGATAGTTTATTTATGTCTTTGCATCCCCCTGCCCCCTCCTTGTCTTTGCTGTTACCTCTCAGAGCTGAAGTTGGAGGCTGTGACGATGACATCATCCTTGTTCTGGACCAACACAGGGATTTTCCTGCAGCCTGGTGACTTTAATAGCCTCTGTAATAATTTTAGCGTCTCTGCAGATACACACAAAGACAAATCCACACAAAATGCATCCCATGAGTAATTCTCAAACAAAACCAAAGGCTGTCACAGCATCTGGGAGGGAACACACTACGCAACTGAACAGACTGCAGAAATACTGAATATTAATGTGCTTCCAAGGAGTGGGAATTAAGGAAAACATACTTAGGGACAACTGAGAAAAGGGCATACCTTTATTAGAGATAGCCCTTTATTTTAAAAGCATGTTTAAGTAAGAAGACTCCCCATTTTCTAAACTGCTCCCATTTGCTTTGTTAATTTGCAGCTCAACTCTTCCTGCTTTTGTTTCACATTACTCCATTATTTTAGGGGGTGCAATTGCCTGAAAGGCTTTAACGTCATTAAAGTAGTCTGTAAACAGCAGTAGGTCAAAGTAGTGTATAGAAGGAATTAGTGTCTATATCAACCATTTTTAACAACGGAGTGGTAATTATGTGTTTAATTATCGCTGTGGGAACATAAATTATGCTTAATTATCCATGCAAGACATTATTCTCACTGATAATTGACTTGTTAGTGTGTTTGCAGTGTTAACATATAGGAACTTCAACAGTAGCTTATCTTAATTTGTCAGATGTTGGGCAGAGATGCGATGCTAGTTATTAGAGATGTACAGCTCTGCAGTTATACAGCTTCTACTGGAATCTAACACTAATAGGTCTACGACTAATGTAAGCATTATAATAGAATGTGTCTTGACCTTGCAGAATGTTGGCTGGACACATGTCTATCTTAGTAACCACTACAAACACTGGCACATTTAGGGCCAGTGCCAGACCCAGATGCTCTTTGGTCATGCCAACGATGCCGGCGTTACTGCCAACCTGAGAGAAGAGAGAGGAGAAACAGGGAAAGAGAGTTGTCTGTATGAAATTTGAAAAGTTAATTGAAAATTGACATACAACCCAGGACTATGGCACGTGCGCACACACACACACACACAAACTTTCCCATCACCCTGCCATCTCTCACCATGAGCATGCAGAAATCTGGCAGGTGTCCTGTCATGCCAAAGACAGTGGTCTTGAGGTACTTCTCATGGCCAGCCAAGTCAATGAATGTGATGACCTTAGAGGATTTCTCACAGATCTTGGTCCAGTCTAGTCCACCACCATGGCTGTCTGGTTTGTTCACCACCTAAAGGACAGACAGAATAAAAGACGACTTGAAATGTGCTCTCCAAATATTTGGATAAATTATACTTTGATGCTTTGACAACTTTGTTCTTGAAACTTTCAGAGTATTTGATCTGAATGTAAAATATATTTGAACTAGGGTTGTAACATTTCTGAAACCAAGACCAAATCTGTAATACAAATGTCCGCAGTCTCGAGTCAGACTCGCCAGGAAAAGAAATCCCAAAACGTGTGTTTTGGCGGTGCACCAGTTGCTGTCTATCAGACTGGTTTGCCAGGTTAGTCAAGCTCATGTAGTGTAGGATTCCCATTACTGACACTTGTGTTATTTATTTTTATTAAATATTAAAAATAAGCTTGAATTTGAGGGCGGCGCGGTGGTTAGCACTGTCACCTCACAGCAAAAAGGTAGTGGGTTCGAACCTTGGTCGTTTCAGGCCTTTCTGTGTGGAGTTTGCATGTTCTCCCCGTGTCTGCGATGGTTCTCCGGCTTCCTCCCACCATCCAAAGACATGCGGACTAGGTTGATTGGTGGCTCTAAATTGTCCTTAGGTGTGAACGTAAGTGTGTGGTTGTTTGTCTCTGTATGGCCCTGTGATGGACTGGCGACCTTTCCCTGTCAGCTGGGATTGGCTCCAGCCCCCCGTGACCCTGTACGCAGGATAAGCAGTTGACGATGGATGGATGGATGGAAGCTAGAATTTGAGTCCCTTAACTGCGAAGAATTATGGCCAACCAGCCACTGTTCAAAATAAAATGACAGATGAAGTGAATGAACCCAGGGTTTTTCCTGCATAGAGATATTTTTGGTGCCCCCCAAAGAGGTTTTAGTGAGCGCCAAAGGAAAATCACCAGAATGATCAGAATGAAAAAAAAAGTGTTTCAAATATTCCCCAAACGTGTTGAGCAAACAGAACATAAACTTAACTACGATGTCGTGACTTCCAGCAGTCACCTCACCGCTCATCCACAGCGCTGTATTTACACATGCTGCTGGCACTGGATTTATTAAAGCAGCTGATGCGTTGGTTTGACTGCGCCTGAACGCTCCGCTACAAAGCTTGCGCTAATGGGAGAGATGACTTCCTGTAATTTCTCACAATATACAAACTGTCATTTTTACATTTTACTCTTTTGCGTACCGGCATCAGTACTCTCCTCTGCCCTCTCTAAATCAGGGTTTCTGGGCACTACGTGACGCTCACCTGTTCCCGTTCTCGCCTGCCTGCTAATCTCTGCAGGGAGATCGGGATTGGGTAACTTTAATGCAGCTGTGTGCATAGTTGTTCGTCAAAGTCAGTTTTCGTTAACCGACCAATCACAGCCTGGAGTAGGCGGGACATTAAAAAAAGGTTGAGGCATCATAGCAAACTATACACGGTTTTTATTATTGACAAATTAGTACTTTGCTTTGAGACTGACCACCATGCAGAGCATTTTTCTTGCATAATAATTTAATGACTGAAAACAACCCACAAAAATTAAACTGCTGTTTTGTCCATCTGGAATTAATATCATAGGCTACTAATAGTAAGCTATAGCCTAAAATATTATCTGAATTTATTATGAATACACTAACATTAGCAATAATAAAACCTTAACCACAGATAGGTTGTTTTTTTTTAACATCTGAATCTCAACTAATAAACTATCTGTAGGCAGATAATCCAAATCAAGTGTAACCTATGAATATATTATTATACTAACATTAAATAGTATAATGTTATAATATTTATTAATACACTAAGTTATACCTTTACTCCTCCAGGTTGTGGAGGCCCATTCTAAGCCAGGAAAAACCCTGGAACCTGAATTGTCAAACGTCGCCTCTCCACAGGCACTGTTTTTGCTAGTGGTTTTTGGTCCAAAAGTCTTCAAAAAATAAAAGCAGTAGAGAACTGGAAAACTTGGGATAGGTGCTATCACTTTCTTCATTTAGCATTTGCCATGTTTATACATTAAGTTTTGAGCACTGGCAGAAGCTCACCTGTCCCTCCTGGTCAAAACCCAGGATATCGTTGCCCACACTGCTGGTCCTGCCACTCTCCATTTCGTGTTTGTGTCTGAAGAGCTTTTGGCGAGCGAAGCCCCTGCCATTGTCCAGCTCACCGTGGGTCAAAACTCCCAGCAGAGTGCTCTTCCCTGCATCCACATTCCCTACCACCGCCACTCTGGAGACAACATGAAGGAGAACATGGAGGGTGAGAACGACAACAGTACAGAGAAATACATGTTGTTATATTAGTGGTAGTAGGTACACATCCTCTCCCTGTCAGTAAGTGCTGTAATTGAGCCTGCACCGTTTTTGATGTCTTATTTTCAACAAGGTGTTGCTGTAAATGAACAGGTATCCTCAGCATTACTCAATAATACAGATTTAATTTAATAAAAATCATGGAATAAGTATCTCTCCATATCCAATTCCACCAGTGGTGTGACGATAAAAATTAGCTCAAGAGACAAGACACGATTTCGAGTTCACAAGATCGAGACGAGGTGAGATTTTATCACTATTTTTAGGAAATCTTCAATGCTGACTTATATGAAAATTATGAGCATCAAACACTTAATTTCCTGCATTCTGGTGAAATTTTCTGCATCTGAGATCTCTCGACTGTGCAGAACTGTGGCCTAGTGCATCCATACTCACTTAGGGTTTAAGTGCCATGCTCATAGGTACTCGTGGGAACAGTAGCTCATGTGGTGCACAAAATATTACTTATTAATATTCTGTTGAACCTTTTCTCTTAATTTTACCTGACTTCCAGGAAATCCTGCTCGCCCACACGCCGGCGGATGAGGTAGTCCTGAATCTTTCCACCGGTATCCGTCCTCTCCCTCAGCCAGATCAGGTCAGCCTCAATCTGTTCACACAGCGACCGCACCGTGGCTACCGACGCCTCCATGTCTTTGTCATCCAGACCATAATCACCTCCATCTAAACAGAGGGGGGGCAAGAAAAGGGAGCGGGGCAACGAAAGGAACAAGGCAGGAAGAAATAGAGAGTTACTTTGATGCAGGATAGAGTGATAACATTACACGTCTACTATTTAATGTATGCTTTTATAATGAGTGCCTTACAGAAGAGCGGGCATATAATTTACAAGCATGTCTTGCAAATGTCAGGGCTAATGTACACTCTCGCCCTCGGAATGTCAGTAACTTGCTATATAACAGGGTGGTGCCCAGGAACACAAATACCACACTGGAGGCAGACATTGTAGAAGAAAGACGTGGTTTTAGGAGAGACTGGAGTGTGTTTAGTGTGGGGATGAGAAAATCTAATTTACTGGGACCACAATGCCTGGATCATCACCCCCAGTTCGCTTTGGACACAATCAAAGAACAGCAGACTTCTAGATTGTGTCATAGGTTATTACATAGAGGTGTTAATATACATTTCCAAAGACATACACTACATTAGGTGTCTTTTTTTTAGTTAAGAAAATTTACAATATGCCGACACTCGCTACCAGTTACTATGGTTAATGTAGCTCACTACTCCTTCTCTCAATAGAAAACACCTCAAACAAACACCCTACCACAAACTAGCCAGAAAGTCTGGTTATACCAGACTGAGAAACGGAAACAACCAGCCAGGTCAGTTGGCCAGTCAGGTGGCTGCTCTCCCAGCCAGTCAGACAGACATCAACTGTTGAACTAGTGACAGTCCCTATGCTGAGCACTGAAAAATGACACCCATTCACACATCCCCTCTGACCCACCCAACAGGCCACATGGGTCACACATGTTGCTGTAACAGGCAAAAAATATCTCTGGTTGCTAACAAAAGCCCTCGTGTTTCTGTGTGGGGCAGAGGGTTTCAGAATGAAACTAAATTACAAACTAGTGAGGTTAGCCGCCTGGTAGAACACACAGAGCCACAGCTGACAGACGTGATAGCTTGATACTACACACACTGGTGGTTTGGCCTGTCCCCAACTACTTATGCAGATGTACAACAATATCTTTCAATACCTCAAATGAGTGAGTGAGTGGAAAATAAACACCAGTCTTACACGAAATGCTACTGAATTGTGTCTCGGTTTTCTCTTACTTTTGATTTTAAGGTTCCATTCTTAAAATCAATCTAGCTGGTAAGATGTTAAAGGCCTTTGGTGCCATCTATGGGATATGTTCACCACACACCAGATGACCAAAAACAAAGATTACTTTCCATGCCAAAACTCAAACCCTGGAATGGGGCTTGTTTAGCCACAAGTGATTTAGTTATGGACTACTGTCCTTTCAATGTTACAGGGTATCACGTGACATTTCCAAAGCGGACACTGACTACATTAAGCCTAAAACAAATCTTTTCCAGATGCTGACAGAACAATTTCATATTCTTTGACATTTCAATGGTGCTTGCTTTGGAAAGTCTAGTGCTGATATCAAAAGGTCCATGTGAGTTTAAATGAGATTTTGTCACATTTATCTTTCAAAAATCAAAATATGTTTTATTGTTCAAACATGTCATCACTCCAGCTCATTCTCATAAAGTGCTTGACCATTTCAGAACTGAAATTAAAACTGCTTCATGCTTTACCATATTTTTCAACATTGCTCACTATTACTTGTAACTACAGAAGCACTAACAGCTAGCGTACATGTTGTGAAGGCCAATACAGCATCAGTAAAGTTTAAATCAGAGCCGAGATGTTGTTCTAGGACAACACACTTTACTGTTGATACTTCTGAAACTATCAATGCAATCCACCAACACATAAAACCAAACTTACTGGCTCATTTAATACAAAAAATCATATTCTTTGATATATCAAGATGCAAGGCAACACCTTAGTTCACAATCTATTGAATTATGAGCTGTTCGGTGGACCAAGTGTATACTCAATTAAAGACGTCATCCTTAAGTTGCTTGAAATTTAGTTACCCTTACCTGAGCCCATCCCAACCACATAGATTGTCTCTCCACATCCCTCATCTATCCGCTCCCTTAGATGCCGTAGTAATGAATCATACTGTTCCCCTGTTGGACTCACTAGGACCAGCTGAAAAATGAGAGAAGGGGAAGAGACAACAGAGGGATGACATGGAAAGGTCAGACGGGTGCAAACACAGTCAAGTCTTCCAGTAAACGTATCTGTCACTTTGCAACTTCAGCTTCTGGCTTTTATTCTAAGGCTGATGTGTTCTGCAAATCAGTCAATAACTGTGGCCGTGTTTTGACAATTCTGTCTGATGCCTTAGGCTTCTTTTTCAATGTTAGCACATACAGTAGATATACCCGTGGATGGTAAACCTGCCAGCTGGATGTAGTTAAATACGAAATGCAACATACGTGTCACTTTCTGCAGAGCCAGCACAAAATGCGCTGTGTGCAGGATCCATGCAACAGGAATTTGGTAATGTTACTACACAGCATTCGTTTACCGAAACGAAACAGAATGCTGCTCGGTTTGATCACCTTAAAACTTAACGTTGGTAGTTGCAATATTGAGTGAGGCCTACCTTGCTGCTTAAGTCTAAATGATCCGCGGGCTCGCCGTTTGTGCCCTCGCCGTCTTCAAAGCACTCTCCGCTGGATGGATCGTCGGCACATCCCTGGTCCGGTGCAAACATACAAGCGGGCACTATGGACTCTGCTGCACCCGGGCATATCTCCGGTTCTGTCGCCGTTAACGACGCCATTTCTATTAAGAGAAACAATGCAAACGCAGCAGAATAAATAAACGAATGTATCTCCTTCTCTGGCTTCACTAGCTAGCATTTAACTTAGCCATTAGCAAAGACAGAAAGTTAGATTGATTATCACAGCCAGCTAGCTAACGTTAATGCTAACCAAACATCAAACTTGCTCTTATAATATGTAACACACACATTCAAATTTTTGGAAATCTAAATGGTTAATGAAGTACAATTACATGATTTAATCTCTTATGAAATGAAGGCATACCAGAAGTTGCTGACAAGCTAACTTAGTTGTTTATTCGGCGTTAGCTTCGGCTTCTAAGCACTGAATCTATGGCACGCCCATCACAAAATGGAGACAGGGGATTGGTTACACCACGTAAAGTCACGCCCACTGTGATGAAGTACAACACACTGATATCAGCGTGCTGCTCGGGTGAGTAAAAACTAAAAGAACACACTGCTCTCTCTTTCTCACGCACGCACACACCACACTTTTAGTATGACATAATAATAGCCTTACAATATACTATAAGTTAGCACATGTCTGAAAAAATTTTAGGTATGACCAACAAATAAAAGTCAACAATTAATTTGTTATCATCCAAGAGAAAGTCTTACAGAATTTATGCTTTTATTTGTCTATAATTAGTTTTGAAGAACGTTATAATAATTATGCATGTGCACTAGCACTTAAAGTACTTCATATTTGATGAAGCTGATGTACTTGAATAAATCTTGCATTTTGGGGGGACTGTATCCTCTTGGTTGAAATGCACTTATTGTAAGCCACTTTGGATTAAAGCGTCAGCTAATGACCTGAATGTCATTACGTTACAGTAGACAATTAGGTAAAATCAATGCAAACTATTAAATAACTGCCTCTACTCGCTTAAAACTTAGTTGTCAACAGTATATGAGGAGTCACTTTGAAGAACACAAATACATCTTTATAGAAATCAGTACACATCATATACAGGCAGTGCAAAAATCTCAGAAACCCACAAATGCAGAACATTGACAAATTTGTCAGAAGTAATTAAGTAGTCACTTGTAGTTTGTTCCCGGGGGGCAGTTTGACTTTTAAAACATGTCTTTTCATATACCGGGGGAGTTTCTAACAGAAAGAGCCAACATCTGTAATATGAAGCAGAAGAGTGACTGAGTGGTTTCATTTAGGGGCAAATATCATCATGTGTGTTTGGTCAGTTTTTACATCCCTATCCCCATTGATTGCTTCCTGCCCCCAGCGTCACTAGGGTTATATAAACAACTCACCTGCCTGCAGAGCTTTGTCACACGAGGCACAACCCACTGAAGAGAGCCAAGATGGTAAGTAGTGAACAAAGCTTCAGTCATAGGATATTTCTTCAGTCTCCTTATAGCCAATATCTGCCTTCATTATTCCTTATCTTAGTGATGGCATTATATCAAGCTCAAAACAACGATGTTTCTCATTTTCTCCAACTTTTATAACCATATTGTGTGATCTAACTTTATTGTCGTATGTGTCATATTACACTTCTAAATGCACACCAAAGAGAAATACTGTTATACTTTGCTTTTTAAAAAAGTTTGTCTTTCGGATTACACTTTCAAATAAACACTCAGGTTGTTACAGGTTGAAAATTAGAAAGGCAGAAGTGGTAAATCTTGAGGTTTGTGTTAACATCACTTGCAGATTCATACACACACACAACAGAAAGAAGAGAAAAGGCTTGGAAGCATTAACACCTTTCTATTTTTTTCATAGTTTTTTTTAGAGGTGTGATATTTTTTTCAATAATTGACATTAATTCAAGAAATATTTCTCACTTTTACTATGTGATTTGATAAAGATATGTAGATCCAAACCAAAGCTGAGCAAAAAAATCTGAAATGTCTATGTTTTTTATTTGCCCAGGAATTGCTTTGGTCATCTATTATATATATACTATACTATACTATACAATAGTTAGGCTGATGCAAATTCCCAGAGGGATAAGTTAACTTAATTACTCTCCAACAAATTGCCTGTGCGGTCAATGATGAACCAGTAGTGATCTGAGATAAGACATGACTAGAATATATTGTGGGTGATATAGACTGAGGTATATATCAGTGTGGTACAGGTATATAGGGCCAGAATGTTAAAGTTCATATGTAACTATCAGGTAAAGTCCTTCATATAGATAGTAGTGAATGGAATTTATTGCTTTGTTGATTAGGTTCACTGACTTTGAAGAAAATCCCAGGTATGACATGATGAGATTGACTTATTAGGTTAGCTAGTTTTTTATTAGTTTTGTCTTTAATTGTTGGCTCACACAGCCACACCTTTAAGAGAGGAGTGGTAGTAGTACTTATCTAGATATACTGTGGCAGAAAGTCCATGTGTGGGTGTCTTTTTATGGTTTAACTGTCTCTATAGACGATGACCACATGCGAGTGAACAAATACAGTGCCTTCCTGTTTCAGTACTTTTACAGCCGAGGATACACTATTCCACCCTGGTTGATCATTAACAGCGAAGATAAGAACCCCTATTATCATCAATTCTCCCACCAGAGTACACCGTGCACACAATAATTTAATTTGTCTCTAAAATAGTCTTTAATTATAAGTGTTTTTGAAACATGCAGGGAAATAGACTTGTTCTAAAATTAAATATCTTCTGCCTGAAATCTAGTTGCCAAACTTAAGTTAAGTTACTAAAATAAAAACAATGCATTAAATCTATGAAATGGCCATTTTAATTAATACTCATCTTCCCAAATCAGTTCCCATATTCCTCTTTGTCATTTCCCTTTACAGAAAGTGAGAGACATGACATTCAGGGAGGGGCAGGAGTTCAAGATCCGCATCAAGCCCAAGGACAGCTGCAGCTCGTAAGTTCTCTTCATAGGAGGTCAAGTGGTGGTGTTGAAGCACTTTCTGAAAAGTTTTTACAGATCTGTTGTCTCTGGTTCATACAGTGTAGCTTATTGATGTGGATTATCAAGAGGAAGTGGGAGGAGTATACTGTGAAACGGGCTAATGTTTCATCCACTTCTTCCCTTTTTCATCACACCCTTTTGACTTCTGTGTTTCTGTCTCCACTGCAGCTTTGCCATCAACATTGGTCATGATTCGGAAAACATTGCGATGCACTTCAACCCTCGTTTTGACACCAACACCATTGTCTTCAACTCCTTGTCTGGCGGGTGCTGGGGTGATGAGTTCACAGAGGGAAACTTCCCCTTCGTTCGTGGGGAGGAATGCAAGGTGTGTTAGGAGAGTATGAGGGTGTATGCCAGTTGTCTGTAATCTCTCAAACTTCTGTTTAGTCTGATACCAAACAGCGACAATTTAGTCTCCAGCATACACTTAGACACAAGGTTTAGTTTAGTAAGTAGGCTGAGTTTAATACACATACAGTGTAGTCTTTAGGTTTAACTTTAAAGTGAGATTACATAACCATTGCTTAATATCAATCAGTTGCCACAGGTGACAATTACAATACAATGCTCGAACATAGTGCAGCAGCAGTAGCATGAGAAGAGAATAATCACCAAGTCAGTGAACTGACTCAGTAAAGTCAGTTATTTTTGCTAATATTAGCCATAACAGTAGTCACCCTAAACTACTGATACTCATTCCACACCAAATATTTTTGAATGAGCAAAATCCTTAGTATTTTGAGTATTTTTGCATATTTCAACCTTTCATTTGAAGAAGAGCAAGTTATTTCTTCTCTCAGAAGTTATATACAGTAGTCTCACTAGCTTTTCAAACCAAATACACCTGCAAAAGTAAAAGGAAGTACACACAAGGATCATGTCCCAATGTTCAACAAAAAAGGTAGAGATAAAGATAACTGTGGCAACAGAAATTGCACTGCTATAAATTGTGTTTAAAAAAGTGTTTTCCTTACATTACTTTAATGATTTCACATCACATTCTGCAGCACAGATGCCATTCCAGAGGCAAAGTTACTATAGATTTTAATAGAATATGTTACATTCTTATATTGTTTAGACAACAAAGGCTTAAAGCTGCTGTATTCGATGGAATATTTTTGTGGACCTCTGGCAGAGTACCTCTGCTATATTTAGTCATTTGCTCATGCTTAGTTTTCATTATGTTTTTGCCATGAGGTGGTTATTAGCGTGCTTGGCATCTGTGCTTTTACACTGTTAGGTCAACCCACACTGGGCTATCATAAAGGGGTTTATAGGCTTATAAAATGTAATAACCACTGAGAGAGATAGTCTTACCTATCTATCGCAGCAATCTTTTTTTCATACTGCACATGTTCTCTTATCTTTATGTTGTATGAAATTAACTGAAACAAAGATAAATTGTGTGTTTTCTCTTTACCTCTTTGTTTTTTTTATGCACCTCAGTTTTACGTCAGCTTCAGCAATGGGCAGTTTTACATCAGGCTTCCTGATGGCTCTATTTTGAACTTCCCCAACAGACTGGGAGACATGAAGTACAAGTACTTTGATGTCAGCGGTGATGCAAGGATTGTTGGTATCAAGATCAAGTAGAGGTTGAACTCTTCTTAACCCTTTGACTCTTCCATCCACCTTTTGTTTGTTGCTCTGTTTTACATTTTCTCCTCCTGATGTTTATGGGAAAATAACACTAGAAACCTTTAACAACATGGAGTGTTAATGTTGTAATAAGAGGAAATTGCCTAAAGAGGGAGCCACAGCACATCTTACCTCACTGTGCTTGCTTGACATCTCTTCAGTCACTGGGTTTGTTAATAAATGAGTGTCACCTCTGTCTCTGTCTCTCTCTCAGTTAAGTTCAGTTCAATATGATTTATTGGCATGAATGTTTAGGTTCAAGAATGTTGTCAAAGCGGTTTGCAGCAAAATCCCAAAGTTTATATTTTGAATCAGACACAAAAAGAATTATTCCAATCTTGACCATTCACTCTCTCTCTCTCTCTCTCTCTCTCTCTCTCTCTCTCTCTCTCTCTCTCTCTCTCTCTTTATCTCTCCCTCTGACACACACTGATACAGCACACCATACATCATCTCCAATGATGAGTCTTAATCTACAATTGATATATGTTTTAACTCTGTATGCAACACTCATGAAACACATTATGTATTACAATATATTACAATAATATGTAATGTATGCTGCTGCCTTTTTATTTTTATTCTCAATTAGTTTTTTTCTGGTTATATAAAGGTACAATAGTAATAATACAATCTAAAACATAAATAACATCTAAACTAATATCTAAATCAATTCATTGACAAATATCAATATTTCACTTGAAGAGCTTTCTAATTTAGGTCACTATTAAAACAAAATAAAAGCCAATGAAGCTGCATGATGAACATAGGTGGTGAATTAATAAATGTAAAGTCAATTGTATTATTGTATTATTCTACATACATCTGAATGTCTGTGGCATTAAATGCAAGTCTGTTCATAAGGGTGACTTGGAATTAGACATTGGTCATATTAATGTTAATGTTTATGGTAATAATTAGAACGGCGCTGTAAATAAGAATTGATAATTAGCAGTGAGATTGCAGTGTGAATGCGGCAGATATGTGACTGTACTGGAAGGATAGAGAAGATAATAGAGGATAAAACAGGAGGGACAATATATGACAGAGGTGAGATGAAGCATATTCTTACAGAGTCAATTTGCAGGAGGACTCAAAGAAGGCATGGCCTAAGGCTGAGGAATGTGGCACGATGCAACCACATTCCCTGGAAGGAGATGAAATATCCTTTACATGTGTATGTTCATGTGTGTGTGTGTGTGTGTGTGTGTGTGTGTAAAGAAATTAAGCAGTTATTTACATTTGATTCCATTGTCCAACTATTTGTCCAACCATTGTCCTACTAATTTCAAATATTTAATTGACAAGTTCTTCAGTATTTCTTCTAAAATATTTTCAAAACTACTGAATTTTTCAATGTAATTCAACCCTTTGTAGCTTAGAAAATAACACATTTTTACCCAGATATCAGTAGCTTAAAGATCCCATCAAATGTGTAGGCTTATTTGTCAGAATGATGTCATCAGTGTCGAGGCGACATAATTGGAGATTGTTAGATAGGCAGAATTTGTACATGTGGGGATAAGTGTTAGATTATATAATAAACAAGACAAATCAAATATTTTGTCATTTGTGCCAAACCAGAAAACTTGGGGTCAGTTTTTCACATTAGCAAACATTCACCTGCTGTGCTGAATTTTTCTGCACCCCTACACTCTGGTTACTCCTCTCAACAGAGCCGGAAATGTGTAGCATCACAGCATTTACAAAGTTTGAAGAATGTGAAAAATTATTACAAGCATCTCACAACTACGACAATTTCCAACATTGTACAAAATTACAAGAATGAAAATTATAAGGGGTCAAAAAAAAAGTCCCGCTTCAGTGTCTATGTTCTGTAACCATTTATTCATTGTCTAAAGGTCTGGCGTAGTCACAGCGGAACCGGGGTCAGTCCTGCTTGATCCCACAGACTGACCTTTTTGGGCCAAGTAATCTTTATAGTTCCGGGTCAGAAGAGTGTAAAGAAATGGATTGATGCAGCTGTTCCCATAGGTCAGACACGTGACAAAAAAATTCACATAATTATGAGCAGCGGGAGACAAAGCTTTGAGGGACTCTGGAGAGAATAGTTTGGCTAGCTGCCATCCCCAGAAAGGCAAGAAACAACCCCAGTAGGCCAATACAATGCTAAAGATCATTGATACGACTTTTTGCTTGAGTCCTCTCCTCCGGGAAGATCGGCCGCTACCTCGTAAGCTAGCCTGCACAGCACAGTAGCGCCTGGCTAGTCCAACATAGAGTCCAACAATTACCAATCCAGGAACTAAAACACTTGTAAGAAACAGGACAGTGATATAAGCCTTGAATGCCTCAGGGGTCCAAGTAGGGAAGCAGATCCTCTTAACTAAACCAACCGTTGTTACTTTGCCCTCCCTGAGTCGGATCATCACCATCATGGGAAGCGTTACCACGAAAGCTAACCCCCAGATAATTGCTGCTGCTAGCTTTCGTTTGCGGGACGAGGACCTGTGTGCGCTGAAGGGCCTAGCCACGGCACGGTAGCGTTCCAGGCTCATAGCAACTAAAATGAAGACACTGGCATGCATGGTGAGGAGGTCGAGACTTAGCAGGATGCGACAACCAACCTCACCAAACAGCCAGTCATGGGCGAAGTATGTGCACACCACGAAGGGGATGGTGGAGAGGTAGAGCAAGTCTGCCAGAGCCAAATTGATAATGTAAACGTACATGGAACCTGTCCGGCGCAAAGCTGCTGAACGAGTAATTATGAGTGTGTACGTGTTGCCTGCCACACCCATGGCACACATGATCATCAGTGTGACACCAAGCAGAGATGTTACCCAAAGGACCCCGCTGCCTCCACCGCCACCAGCACTCTGCTGGGACCCTCCATCTCCAGATTCCGGGCTCAGGACAAGTCCCAGCTGTGGCGTAATGGTGGCATTAGGAGTGCAGTTCATTGCAGGTTCCCAGTTGAAAGGTCAGATGTCAGACGCTAATGTTTAAAAGCCAACATAGACAGTACTATATGACGTTTGGCTCCTGCATTAAATTAGAGATTTATAGTCTTTATAAACACAGATTGAAGATGGCAGCTGATTGTAAAGTCATTTCGTCATAACTCCTTATGAAATTTTGGTAAATCCAAGAAATATCATTAATGGGCAATAGGTGGAAGAGCAGGCATGACAATGGTAATCCACAGAGATGATAAGTATACCACTGACACTGCTAGAAGCTTCAGTGACTACAGCACTGCCTGTGGCTTGTAGTGCTTATCATCAGAGGTAAGGTCCGCCACACAGCCATGATCCCATATTTCTCCAACATCAGTGTGGCACAGTGAGTGAGGACACTGTCTTTCAACTTGACAAACTATTTTCTAAATCTCTGATAGCAAACTCCTGCAGTGCCGAGGTGTGCTCAAGAAAGACTTCAGGTCCGGACATTTCCAGGGATAAATTATGTCACTTTTATTACATGAAAGAAAAATTCCAACGTCTTTCTCTATCAGTGTCTACTGTGGTGACCCCATGTCCAGTTTTGGTTAAAAAAATAATTCCTCGACTGGACCAAGCAAGGTTGAATCAACAACTGTATTATATTCAGTCAAAATTTGTCTGGTCTTCTCTCTTCTAGATTTCTACCTGCATATAGACATCTATGTAGTACAGATCCTTTGCCTTGTCCAAATTATCCATGTTAATTCCTCACTGGCGCTCCTCTATACCTCCATCAAGGATCTGATGCATAGCCGATGAACCTTCAGTTTCTCCTTGGATCTTCAGGACCCATTTGACTCCCTCTTTTGATAAAATACTGTTGTGTCTGGTGTGTTCTTTGGTGTGCTCCTGGTCCCAGTCCACTCCCTCCCCTTCTTTTCTCTATCCTCCCTCTTTCTCACCAAGGTGGAAAACTAGCATGTGCCTATAGATTTATGAGGTATTCCTCTCGGGCCTCCATCTGCTCTGTCTGAGCTCAAAAGGTTTAGTTTTAGACACCCACAAACCACTGGGGTTGGCAATTGTCCACAACCACACACACATACCATAAGAACAAGAGCCAAACACATCATACATAAAAAAGGAGCATATGTATTCTTTTCTGCTAATTTTAGAAGTACTTTAAAAAACATGAATGAATGTACTTGCTTCCTCTGTAAATTAGTGAGTATTCACGCATGTAAGTTTCTTCTGAATTTTACACTTTACCCATTTAATATTTAAATGAATGGCGCAAGAAATCTTAGAATATTTACAGAAATAATATTTTGTCCAGAATAGTTTTCCTAGAAATGCACTGGATGGGATCAGGGTTGAATCTAGTTTTTGAATAACTTCCCTTCAGTCCGAAGTGAGTGATAATATACAGTAAGCGGCTATTTTTAAAATGATTTAATTATCACACAAATCTGTACAGAGATTCTTTGACAACATCCAGAGGAAATATTTTTATTAGTGAATATATGTGATATGTCAGTCAGCTATGGTCAAGCATAGAAATATCTTTATTAAAAAAAGACACCAAATCAATTTGTAATGTGTACCTTAAACAAAAACACAGACGCTGAAAACAAAATACCACTATCAGTATTCAATTGGCAGTTTGATATCTATAAACAAGTAGGAAAAAAATAACTTATTAAAATTATTGGTTTGTTTAAACAAATACTAAGTATATATACTGTATTCCACATGAAGGCACTGTTAGACTATGTAATGGTTTGCAGTGTTTCCAGCTTTTCTATCCCAATGCATTTGCAAATCTTTGTCTTTCAAGTATGTCTTTAATAGAAGTACTCACATGTCTCAAAAACTACTTACAGAATCAACATTTGTCTATATTTAAAAGAAAGTACAAAACAGCAACGGACTATATGTGATCTAAAATAATGGGTTGGCCGATTAATCTGGCATTGTGAGATAATCAGCATCAGCAGATACCAGCACTAACAAGGCAGGTGTATCAGCAGATAAAATGTCTGCTGACACATCTGCAGGCGGCCTTGTCAGTGTGGCTGCTGTGGAATGATGTTAGCGCTCCCCCTTGTGAGTTTTGGGAAGGCTGTGAAAAAGTTTCCTCAGTGTTTCTCCCATCCTAAATGACAGCTATATATTTATATATAATAAGTGTTCTTATAATGTAGTTGAATGATTTCACTTCCGACAAACTGTACCCCACTTTCTCTTAAACATCAGTCATGTTCTGAAATCTACAGCATAAACCATTACATTTTTCTATTATCTAATGCCAAATCCATCTAAAATAACATGTTACTGGATAAAATAGCAATTATATTAGATTATACTCTGCAAGGAATAATAGAATTATACATTACATGACCTTTTTGTTTTGATCCATATTATATACCAGCCGCCCTGTTCTCTAAATATCATTGCAAATATCATTGCATTGATAATTGAAAAACCCATATCGGTCATACACTAATACAAAATCATAAATGTCACCATGAATTCACGATATAAACTATATAGGTAGTGTGTCTAATGATATTGCTTTGCTTGGAAAAATGATCTCTTTGATCTTTTGGACCGAAACAGCATTGTGAAAGGTACACGATGTATATTACTTTGAACATGTATATTCTTGCTCTAAGTCATGAGAGTTGTTGCGTTTACATAAAAGTTGCTTTAATAAAGAAAAAAATGGAAAAATCAAAAGGAATTCTGAATCCAACACAGATACAGGTGTTTTCTGTGCTGTTAATGGTCTGTACCTGTTTGACCCATTTGACTCCCTATACCTTATTATTACCAAATAGTCAGACATCAGACTTGGACATAAAATCCATAATACTAGACAACCAAGGTATTTCTTACCTTAGAAATGTCTTAAATGTCACATTGAATAAAGCTTGAAATTCCACCCTCATTATTTCACCATTATGAAAAAAACAATCAATCCACAAGCAGTGATGTTTTTTTACATTCCCATAGTAAGATCGAATGGACAACAGGGAACATGTCTGAACAGGCCACGAAAAGAGTACTATGTAGAATTTCAAATATGTTCTGCGTAAAATAAAAAAGAAATATCTTATAGTACTGCCCAGACTGCTTGATTGACAAGTCATGTCTTTGCAGTGCAAGACACCACAGCAATGAATGCCACATATGTCACAGAAACTAAATCAAGTAAAATGTTTGATTACCATTGTACATTTACATATTTACTTACATTTGACTTTAAATTGTTCTAATTTTTTTAAAGTTAATTTTGTTAATGTTTTTATTCTTAATTTACATTTGCCTCTTATTTGCATTTTAATTCCATTGCCAAAAAGCATCTTTAGGACTTGGGACCATATACCAAGATTTTGCTACCATTTCCCAAAAATACTGGTGGAGTTAGTGACAAAGCCGATGTAGGTCCGGTGTCAGATTGGTGATGGGATGAGAGGATAGGAGATGGTCCCACAGGCCTCAGGTCCATCAATGCCTGTGCCTGAACAAGGCTTCCACTTGAAAACAAATCAGAGTCCAAAGTTAGAAAAAATTGTTCTTTCCCAATGCAGACAAATTGCCAAATTGTCATTTTAACATAAATTCTTGACATGAGCACCAATATGGGACGTTAAGTGGGTCTATCATTTTGCTACTTTGTTCTAGAGTGAAATATCTTGAAAACTATTGGATGGACTACCATGGAATCTTCACATTTATGGTTTCTAGACAATGTATCTGTACTTTGAGTTTAGCGCTAATTAGCAAATATTAGCATGCTGACATGCTAAACAAGAAAACAGTAAACATTACCTGCTAAACATTCACATATTAACATAGTCAATATAAGCGTGTTAGCATGACAACCGCTACCTGTACATTTATTTAACCACACCAACAAGGATCAAAAAGTAAGAACTTGGAAGACGGATCCCTCTATGTTGTTCTTCCAGAGGTTTCCATATTTTCCCCATTCAAAGTTTTTTTGAGGGGAGTTTTTCCTTATCTGAATCAAGGGACTAAGGATACAAGTTTGGGTTAAGGAGGTTGGATTGTGAAGTCTCTTGAGGCAAATTTGTGATTTGTGATATTTGGCAATATCCATCTAATTTTGATTTAGATTTCTTTACATGAAGCATTACAGTGTCCACAGCATTTATTCTGCTTTCTGCAGAGTTGTGCAATCCCACAATGCAATGCTCCATATTTTATCGATGTGAAAATGTACTGTTGCCCGACTCTAGAACTGTCTGTCGTTGATGACTCAAAATGACGATGATTGATAAGTGTCCGAAATCTAAATTTACTGCTCACTATAGAGTAAACTACTGAGTGTTTATTACATAGGGAGTAGTCAATGAGTAAATGAGGGAGTGACACACATTCAAAGTCTTGTTAGGTAAGATTAATAGGTAGATAACTACCAGTGAGTGTATTGTAAATTGTTGTGCTCTGAGCAACAAAATCTCTTTAACCCACAGTTGGTTCACTGGAGCTACTCAATAGCCAGGAATTGATACTTTAACCCGACTACAAGAAGATGTTGAAAAGGGGCATGCAAAGCTTTCCTTAATAAAGAGATGTCAACATTAACTTTTTATAAGTGTTAATTCATTATTTATTCTGTGGTGCCCCTATGAAGACGAGTAGCTATTTGATGTGAAGCTATAAAAAAACAACCACTTAAAACACAGCCACCTAAAAAGATTTAATTATTCTGGCTAATAGCTACTAAATATTTAATGCCTATTAAAAAGTTATGAATTCTTACTTGTGTACTCCTGAGGGGACATCTGAGCACTCATGATATCATTGAAGTGTTTCAGCCAATCCTGCTGGTCGCTCTCTGTCTCGCAAGTAAACAGGAACCCACGGTCGGGTGTTACTATGGTGATGCCGTTTTGCCAGGCACCGTTGCAGTGGGTACCGGCAGGCAAGCCGGGGGAGGCGCTGTAACCGTGGTCTTTGTTCCCCAAGAACACTTCACCTTTGGCAAAGGCGTCCTTCAAACAGAGGGAGAATGAAATAAACAACTGTAGAATTTCTCCTCATCATGTTACTCTCAGCTATCAAACAGCTTTTTTTAGCCATGCTAGCAGAGTGGCAATGGCAATGTTGGTCTGAAATATCTCAGCTACTGAAGGATTCATTTTCATGATACTTTCTACACATATTCATGATAATAAGATTAATTCTACTGACTAAGGGGGTCCCCTGACTTTTCCTCTAGCACCATATCACTAATCAACATTTTTGATTTTTAGTTTAATGTCCCATCACAAATGCCAAGAGCCAAAAACTGCTCATTTGTCTTACCGGTAGTCCAAATCCCAAAGATATTTTATTGACTATTATTATGACAAAAAAGCATTTTCACTTTACTGAAGTAATTTACTGAAACAATTAATTTTCAAAATAATTATCGATTAATATATTATGTAATCAATATCTAATTGACTGATTTATTACTTAATTGTTGCAACTTTACATTACAGGATGATTTGCCGATAAATTTACTTTTCATCTAGCACTATTACCAGGTCAAATTTTGTGTACAAAGGTACTTTGGTTTATGACCAAAACCCACAGACTGTATATAAAGATGGATGACATGACAGCTCTTTTACGTCATGATTGACAGCTAAGCCCTGCTTGCAATTTAGTCGACTGGGTGTATGGACGGGACTTTATTGCCGTGGCACCAAATCCAAATAAATGCGCAGACTCTGGCTTCAAACGACGTCACTAGCACAATTTCGCAGTTTTTGTACAGTTGTTGTACACTGGGAGGAGGGGGAGACGCATCTTCCATCTTTATGTACAGTCTAAGCCAAATACCTGCAAAACCATACATTCCCATCATTCCCAGCTGTACATTGTGTTTCAGAGCTAGTTAGCATGGTAACATGCTAAAATTATGAAGGTGCTAAACATCAGCATTGTCATTGTGAGCTTGTTAACATGCTGATGTTAGCACAGAGGATGTGAAATGTATGAGAAGCCGCCTAGGCCAAAACTGAATACTTTTCTTGCACATACGTAGATACTCTCATGCACATACATACTGCCTTGCACATACAGTACATACATAGTGTCATGCGTAAGCATGTATGTATGCGCAAGGTGAGTATGTATGTCTGTGGAAGGGGAATATGTATGTATTGAGGTTAAGTATGTATATATGTGTGAAGTTAATCCCCAGACCGGCTGTATGAAGAGCAATGACTCTGGCACTAAGTGGAAAGCTGGGTCTCCCACACCAAAGGAATGATTGTTATCCACTGTACTATGTATTATGTATTGCACCCTCCCACCACTCGAACATACATACTCACCTCGTGCATATATACATACCTAACATTGCGCATACCTACATACTTAACCTCACGCATACATACATACTCACTTTGCACACCCATACATACTCACCTGGAGCATACTTACACATGAGAGAATGTATGTATGTGCAAGCTTGTATGCAATGCATGTATGTGCATGACAGTATGTATGTACATGGCAGTATGTGTGTATGTGCAAGGGAAGTATTCAATTTTGGCCTAGGCGGCTTCTCTTAGAAGCTCCAAGACACTTCTGGAGGACACACACACACACACACACACACACACACACACGCACAGTACAAAGTAACTCTTTCCTTTAAAACAATATTTCAAAAAGATCCTTTTGAGTTCTATAACTCTTTGTTCTGTTCTAACTAAAATGTGGCACAACTTAATTATTTCAAATGAATCTCATTTTGTTGTTAGCAGTGCAAATTACAATTACATACAAATTGAACTATTTAATACACAGCATCTAACATGCATAATTTAGTTATTATCCAAGTGATCAAATTATACTTGCTTTGAAATCTCCATATATTCCCAGCCAACACTTAACTTCAGTAGACATCCTCTTTCCTCCCCCTTTCATCTACCATTTTTTCTTGTCTAACACTCTTGGGGTAAGTCGGACATTTCAGTCACTTAACATTATTGCACTTCTCCATTGAACTATTACATCAGCAACAATGCTGAGTTAATCTGACTTGGCTATCTGATGTGTATTTAGCAAAGTCTTGTGAAATCTGGATCCTTCCCTCTCAAGGCAAGTCTATGTGATGACCACTGCAATAAAAACTCTAATGATTAAATGACTGAGAATCTCACTTTCACAACATCTCTACCTTTCAAGCACTGATATCAGATAAATTAGGTTGCACATGATGTTGTCTGTGGAAGTATCCAGAGTAGCTTAAAGAATGAGTAACTGCAGGTTTGCGTTTCACTTAATTTAGGCAATCCATACTATGAAGTCATGGCAACAAATGCCATCTAATAATGTTACATACAAATGAAAGTACCTTATGTCACACTCTCCCCACTGAGTCATGGCTTCATATCCAATATCGTCTACTTAATGTAATTTGCTTGATGAAAAAAAAACCTCCTCTTTTTTGAGCACAAGATACCATGGAGGCACTGTTGTTGGTAGGTATGATTAAGAACCTAAACCATAGTCATCCAGGCATCAACTAAATACTTAAATATATGCTGCCTATACTGAAGTCTTTCTGTTGATATGAGTAGGTGTGTGTAAAGGATACCATACCAGGGGATCTTTGAAGTACATGAGTCGTCTGTGGTCCAGAGTGAACCAGCGTTTCTTGAAGCCTTCCGTGTGCTGCAAAGACAAACAAATTGACGGAAATTTTCAGACATGAGGTCAGTGAGACAGAAAAAGAGAGGGAAACTGTATAAAAACACAGAGCAGCATTGTACTTGTACCAAATGTGGTGTCTGTCTGGTTTTTACATGAAAAAGTGATTCATACTCTGTACATCAGAGTTTCCTGGTTCTTTCATCTTTATCAGACACTGTCAATTGTTAAAGTGTCTAGGGCTGCAACTAATGATCAACTATTTTTTCAATTTATTATTATGTTTATACATAATCAAAAAAATGCCCATATTAATTTCTCAGAGCCCAACACCTTTAAATTATTTCTTCTGTCCAACAAACAGTCCAAAATCCAAAGATATTCAATTTACATTTACATCTGAGAACCTGGAACCAGCAGATATTTGACATTTTTCTTGAAAAATGACTTAATAAGTATAAATTGTCGTCATTTTAATTTATTATTCAGTGAACACAAAATATTAAAGCATCAAATGTCAAAAGGGGCTTTGTTGTATCACTAACATGGAAATGGACTTTGAGAACATGGGATGAGTATGTGCTGCTTGTGTTTTGACCCTTTCATCTCCCTGAAGACCCTAAATCTCTTTGCAGCCTAATTCAGCCACTTTGTCAAGAATACTTTCCTTTTTAAGAATAGGTAGTGTAGCATTATCTTGTAACTGATCATGGAAATGTATTAAACCTGATCTCAGGCTTTAATGCAGTGAAATGCATTTGGCCTCATTTTATTTACATGGTTTTCTGTTAGTGCTAAATACTAAAACTGGTTTTCCACTTGACAGCCACATCTGGATGTTTATGGCACCTCTTTCATAACCCTATGATACTGAATTTGAAAAGCCAAATTTGTTGTCACGGATGAATGTATACATCAGTGGAGCAGAACTAAATCCACGCTATTGAAGAAAATGAAGCACAGCACCTTCAGAGAGTTTACTGAAGTGCACAAGAAGCTTGAGTTCTTTTCAGGGATTTTAAATCTGAGGACGCTCAGGTCCTCGACTGCTGCCATATTTTCCTCATAAAAGTGTTTGATATTCTTGTTGTGGCATAAGCCTGAACAATTTACTGTTCCCTTCTCAATTTGCCAGTAACTCCTTGAACAAATATGCCTCACATGTGTGTGAGGGAAATTAATTATGACACCCATTTTATAAATCAGCCCAGCGCAGAAAGTTAGTGAGTCCTTTCATCTCTCAGCCTGACAGATGGAGATTAAACAAAGAGTCTGTCTGTGTGTGTCTGAAAACAGAAAGTCGTGTGGCAGCAAGCAATCAGATTGCTTAGTGTTGCCCGCGTAGGTGTTTCAGTCTGAATCCTGTGTGTGAAAGTGAGTGAGTGTACTTATACGAATATAAAAGTGTTGCAACTTGTGTAAATGTGCGTAAATGCATATGCACAAATGCACCTTTGTGTGTTTGCTTAACCCCAACTTATGTCTGTGTTTCTGTGTGTATTTGATGTTTTGACACATAAGTATTAAGTCGATTCTCAGCTGGAAGCCTTTTATTCCCTCTCAGACAGACTGACGGACGGTGAGGCAGGCAGGTAGGACCTCTCAGCTGTCTGTCAGCCTGTCAGGCAGCGGTAGAAAGCAGCCACATTGACACCAGGGCTAGTTAACCTCTTACCCCACCTCTCATTCCATTAAAGAAGGGAGAGTGGGAGCTGGGATCACAGGTGGGGGTTTGAAGAGGGAACGGTGTCCAACTTGTTAAATGGAATATAAGTTTGAAACTCAATTCTGCATCCTGATTCAAAATCAAGGTCAACTGGACTTCCTCTGAATTTTTATACATTCGCAGAACATAATAGGATGTTCGTTGCGTAATTGTATCATGCATTCTGGTCTGGTTTAGGTTTTTAAAAATGGTGTGTGTGTTAATGTTTCTGCTTTGACACATGCATTTCTGTATTTGTTGGTGCCCTAAAGCACAGCTAGTCTTCCTGGTGTCCACATTTAAAACTTACATTAAACATTACAGTCCTATAGTTTAATACCAACTGGACTCCAGGAACATCATATAATTATTTAGGAAACCCACATCTCTGTTTAGTCAAACACATTTGCACATGAGAATGAATCCATTGCTGGACAATACACAATATATATACATACATTATACATTATAGGATTATTGATGTGTCACTTTCTAATAATGTAAAACTTGCCAATGTTCTATTTGCCAACCTGATCTATTGAGAGAGGTTATAGTTATAGCACCTATGGAAAAAAAGTCATCGCATTGTGAAGCTAAATTATACATTGCCGGAAGGGGAAAAAAGTTTGCTATATGGTTGGTAATTTGAGCTGAGTTCATGCTTTGAAATTACTACAGGTCATGTGATTAGTTTGATACTTCCAGGAGAGGTATGGTTATTGCCATTTATTACCTCTGGACTCCAGAAATTCTATTCCATTTGGAATTATTAACATTGGCTACCCTGATGAGAAATACCTTATGCATTTATGAATATTAAGCTTGGCTTGGTATGATTTTTATCCTGAATTGTTTTGAACACAGTATATTGCTGTCCTATGTTTTATTCCCCAAAACATGAAAAAGAATACTGTTTTACACAAACAGTGCTTCAGCTTAGCCAAAATGATATTAAGTGTTTACCATGAATATCAACTTGTGAACGGGGCATGTGGACAACTTCATATAACCACTGATGAGTCATTATAACAATATGGAGGACATTTGTGTTGTGCATGAATTCTCAAACACCTTTTATTTTAACGAGTAGCCCACTTGGGAGCTGATTAGGTGTAAAGTAAGGAGAGATGATTGTGAATTGACCTACACACTTGCTGCAAAAGACACAACTCTGCCTTATGTTCTAAGTGTACCCTGGCAACATTAGTGCCATCTAGAGAAGACTCTGGATGCATTTCAGCATCCATAAGGCATGTTATGCCTTATCTATTGTATTTTAAAGCTAACACTGACATCCCGGAGTGATTTTGAATACACCGGGATCTACATTTACTGATTCATGAAAATATCAACTTGTGTACTCGATACTGACATTGTCATTGAGCCGACTTCTATGTATCTTTGTGTGTGTGTGTGAGTGTGTGTTACTTGCCCTGGGACCTGTCTTTTCCATGTATCCTTCCTTCAGAAAGTTCCGGGTAAGTTTGGGTACCAGCTAAAAAACACAGCAAGGCAAAGGAATAAAGAGCAACACCATGATGATACAAAGGGTTTCAGTGCTGAATATCCATTCTGGGAAAGTGCTAGCCAACATGTACATTAAGTATAAATACAGTACTTCTAGCCACCTCAATCTTAGTATCTCAAAAGCACAGACATAAAATCAATGTCTGGGTGGGCGCTCACCTCAGCATCTGTTGCCCCAGGAAAGGCCACCTTTAGATAGTGAAGCTGAACTGCACGAATTGAATTAAACCAGTCTACGATCTCCTAATGGACAGAGACAGAGTTTTAGAAACAGAAAAATTAATTATTCCAATCTTTTGTTTGCCCCACCCCCATCATTTTGAAAGAGAAGATAATATCAGTGGTTTGTGTGAGTGTCTTTGAGGATAATACAGCTCAGACAGCCAATTTTATCTTATGATACATAATCATAATTATCACAAATAAACTACCACTACATGTTATAGTAAATGTTGTAAATGTTGTAAATTTGTATTTCTGATGTCTTGGTGATTGTGAAGCTGTGCTGGAAAACATTATGCTTGACAAAAAGATTTGAAACCTTTTTTTTTGTCAAGCTGCTGTCTTGATCAAGAATTCAAGAATGAACCTTCAAAGTAATGTTTGACCAGTTGTTCACTAGCTCTTGTAATTCAGGAAAACTCATATCATCATAGTGCTTTGGTGTTAACATTTTTGTGGTCAGAAAATTGTTTGCCAAATACTCCCTGTAATGGTGGTTGTGGACTTATCTTCATGCTTGCTCAGATCAGTATTGATTGTGATTCATGAAATAATGTGTTTAATAATGTTTAAACTGTTAAAATCTTTATTTACGACCTAATTATGACTTTTGCGTCCACTGATATAAATATGGGTTCTAACGTGTCTGTCTAAATCACACACAAGTGGCCAATATATTCCTAAACACTGTGACCTGACCCATATAGAGAATTTTAATTTAGTATGCATAGAAACATAGTTTAGTCTGTCAGACTGATCATTAATGTGCAAAATCACTTTCTATATCACGAATTAGCTCATGACTTGGTTTGCTGCAGACTGTCAAGTCTCAGATGTTGGACCACAAATAACTTCTCAACCTTATGACAACACTAAACTGTTCCATGTAATTACCTCCACTGAGGAGGTTATGTTTTCGATGCTGTTTGTCTTTCAGCAGGATTGCGGAAAGACTACTGGCTCGATTTTCATGAAACTCGGTGGATAGTGTTTCATGGGCCAAGGAATGGAGTGGATCACATGGCAGATACAAAGAAAATTTCACTTTTGTTTGCAAAATAAGTAAATTGTAACACCAGTGTCCATGGCAAAATAAACTGAATTTTGTATTTTATAATAACTTGAAATACATAACAAATGCACAGCTGAGGCTTCAGCTAGGCACAACCATATTTTGACATGCTGTAATTCTAATAGTTTTGGAAATCTATCCACACATATATAGTGGGTGCGCCTGCAGATTTACATATCAGAGAAGACTGAACTATTGGCTTTGGTGGAGGTCTGCCCTCTCCAAGTGCCCTTCTAGTTCAATATTCATGAATGAGACAGAATGATAGATGCAGAGTTTAAATGTCATCTGCTAATAGATGCCATCAGTCGGCAGAAATTGGTACAGATGGTACACACAACACCACAAACTTCAACAGTTGACTGTCCCTTAATGTGATGACAGATATCCCCTGTGAATGCCAATGTATGCTGCAATTTAAGTTGAGATAGGACATTCTATCTTTTTATCAAGAGTGCAATTTTTTTTCATCCAGCCTTAAAGCTAGAGTGCAGGACTTTTACATATAAATGAATATATGTTGCATTCAAACCCTTGCCAAACGAGTTCACACAATGTTGATTAATCCTATCACCACCATGTAAATCTCTCTGTATACAGGAGCTTTTAAATCTGGTGTCTGTGGCGACATTCCCACACTAGCGTACCACTAGTGTTGTGTTTTACGCCAAACAGAAATGATTGGTTTGGAGGTGAAGGGGGGAGCAACCGTAGGGACAGCAGCAACTCAGTATGGCAGAGCATATATGTCATAAGCATGCGTCAACACTGTTGTGTAATTACTCTGACTGTCAGAAGAGGGAGACATAATCGCCACGCTGCAGGTTTAAATATATCTTACAGTCCTACGCTGCATCTCTGCAAATACTAAACATTTTCTTTTTTTTTAGATTCTGTTGCACTGATCATCACACACACACACACACACACACACACACACAGTACAGCGATGCATACCTTGCCGCTGTCATGGTAGACAAAGATGTTCCGAGTGTTGTAGTCTTTGAGGTAGGTGATCTGCAGGCCGTTGGGGTTTCCCATCTTCTCAGGCTGGAAGGTTGCGTTGATGGCGTCCACCTTGATTACTGCTTTGGGCTCTTTGGCCTGCAGGACAAAGGGAGGAAAGGTGGAGGAGAGGGTGTGTTGTTGAAATGTAAGGGTCAACAACATGGAGGCTACATACTGTAACTGCTGATCTGCCCTCTCTTCAGGAATTTTAGAATCAATAGAAGACTGATGACAGCAAATCTGATGATTACAGGTTAAAGAAGGCTACGTAAGTAGCAATGTATTATTTTATCTTGATGATTACCCAACTTGTTAGAATGTGGAATTAAACTTTCTTTAAAGCATATATGTATACTTTCTTTTCACTATTGGAATAAAATTAATGTGAGGCAGCTATTTATTTTATTTGTTTGTTTTTTGCATGTGTTTTTAGATATAATTGTTTAACAACTAAAATAAATTATAACTGAGGCCAATTAATAGACCTCCTCCTGACTTTGACCAGTCATGATAACAAACATCTTTGTGAAAAATTCGCAAGCATGAGCATTTGCCGCCAGTTATGGCAGTTATTCAGTCAAGGTGTGTGTATCAACCCTTGGGGCCATATTTTGTCTTCTTTTTAACAATGAAAATAATATCTAGAGCTATTATGTATACATCAGTCTGCTTCACTGATAACCATCATGTCAAGACCGACACTAATCCCAGAAAACCTGTGTGTGGAAGGTGCATTTTAATCTGTCCTGACTTGAATTTAAATAAGCATCTAGGAACAGAATCTGAGTCTGTGTGTATCTTCTGCCCTTGACTTTAACAGATAACAGGCACATGTATGCTTTTTCAGATTTGATAGCTAGATTTTACACTTTTTAATTAAAACTAATGTGCATTAGTCAGTTGGACTTGAGTCAGCATGTAACATGTGCCTGAATATTTTACACATCTCAAGGCTTCTGAAACCCAGCTCACTTTATTAATCACTGTGACTCTGTGAGGATGTTTTTGTTTGATTGTTTGCTATAACAGCCTCCAGAAGAATACAAAGCAACCCCAGTAAAAAGGATATGCGTATGCCAAGACATATGCTAAACACGCTGGAAATGCATATTTAAAAATGAGAGTGACAGTCTTTTTAAATATATTTTTTCCCCCCACTTCCCCTGAGCTGGTTTACTTTGACAAACAAAGAGCTCCCAGTTCTTCCAGCCCTAATTGGTTTGGGAGGTGTACAGCAAAGTGAATGAGCTACACTGACAGTGAGGACAGACTACTGGTTAAGCATGTCTCTGCACACCGGAGGGTTTTGTAGGTTTTTGGTAGTTATGTATAATTATAAAGTTAACTGTGTGCAAAAATACTGCAGCACATAATGTCAGGGTGTTGTCTATTGAACATGTCTTTAAAGTGTTCTCTAATTAAGGTATTTGTGTTGCGGTTGCATGTGTGTGTGGGTGTTTCACATGTGCTGGAAGTAAACTATAGCCTTCAAACAACACTTACTAGGAGGCTGTCTAATTATAGTAGGTTGCTGGCGGTGGCAGGCATGGTTTTGTGTAGGCTGTGTGTACATACAAGTGTGTGTAGGTGAGTGTGGCCTCTAAAAAACCGCTCCTTACGTCATATTTGGTGAAATACTTTAGAGTTCCCTCCCTCTCTGAAAGGACGAATCGCCTGCTGAGGAACTGCCCGTTGTCCCGCCCCCTCTTCATCAACATGCCATCTTTAGTTCCTGAAGGAAACCAGCAAAGGTCATTTATTAGCGTGAATGTGTTTTTATGCATGTATGCATGAGTGTGTGTGCGTTCACACTCACCTCCTTCATATGTAACATTTTTCCCTGGCTCAGAGAACTCCTTCCTCTCATACTTTGCTCTAATCCACTGCTCCCTTAACACCCTGAACACACACACACACAAAGAGATGAAAGGTCAATAGAGCTAGCTTGTAAAAAGTACCAGCTGCAAGACCAACAGACGACTTGTATACTTTGTGGAGAGAAAGCTGATAGAGAAACCAAGACTGGATAGAGAACCAACTATTCTGCTCAAATAGAACAGTTAATTTGCCTACATTGTCTCTTACTGCCCATTTCAGTAAATGTATCAAAGCTCTTTAATATGTTTTACAGTTTATAACTTGTTTAAGTATATATTAAATGGAATGCCAATAATAATGCTACTGTCACAGTCTAGTTCTTATTCAATCTATGTGAGAGACTGAAATTTGTGTTGTTTACTATTTTACATTTCCATGGTTATTATCAAGTTAGCTAGCACTGTCAGCCCAGTTTTCAAACTCACACATTTCATAAATATATGTTTGGAAATCTATCTGGCTAAAAAAGCATGAAAAAATATCCCAACTTTTCAACAATGTTTCCTATTAGCTGTTCAACTAGCTAGCAAGCAAAGCTAACCGAAGCCAATAAATACATAACTGTAATAGCCATAGCATAACAGACCAATAACATCAGAAAATATAATATTTTTCTCCAAGTATGTCACCTAAACAGAAAAACACTTGAACACTGCAAGTTTACTTGTTTTCATTTATACCATGAATTCAGTTTTAGCGAAACTAACTATTCTTATTTCTTCGCGTAAGTTGAACATTTTCAACTCGAGCGAGAAAGTCGCTCTTAGTGTTGTGTGGAGCGGGCCAGGCAGAGTGGGGGATTGAAAGCCGCTGGCCGGCGGAGGGCAACTAAACTGCGGGGAATAGCCGAGGACAGAGACAGCGCTGCAGCTTTTGGAAGAATAAACACACGTAATCGGACTGGATTATGCTCTGACAACTACGCAGTTTACTCGTGGGAGGAGCTTGGAGTAAACTGTTTTTACCACAGCTATGGATAAATAAATTAGCTTTTTACTTAAGTTTTTGTGAGTAATACGTTGATTTATCTTTACTCGCGCTTCGTGGCAGCTAGCTTCCATGCACATCCGTTTCTACTGTTGCTGTTTGCATCAGTTGGCACCCAGAACTCTGTTGGACTACTACTTCATATTTATATAAAAAATGGACAAAACTGGACAATACTTGGAGAAAAAAAAAGCGAGGAAGTTGAACTACCTGGTCAGTTCAGAAAATGTGTCTTTAACTTTATTCCAGCTATCGTTGTACTTTACTGTGAACAAGTTAGCATAGCATAGCCCAGCTCGATCCAAACTACATTCAGAAAACAATTAAAAGTTTTAAAAGTTGTTGTCGTGTGGTCTGGCTGACAAACCTGACAAAATCTGCATCATATTGTAGTTATTTCGGCATCAGTTTGATCTATTTATTGCTATTAAATCACCGCAAAATGTTTACTTGGGGTTCATTCAGCTGTAGTAATGACGAGTTGTGTTTCTTTGCGTTATCGTGTTGTGTGTGAAAACCTGCCAGTTGTCCGGTGATAAAACCCCCGCGAGGATTAAATATGCACTTGGTCTGAATGCAGCTTAATGATCAAATAAGCATGTGTGTAGAAATGTGTGTGTATGAGCGAAAGGGTGTGGAGATTTGAGCTGCCCTCAGGCAATTCTTTTTAGATACAGGGGTGAGCTGTTTCTTCCATTCAACACACACACTACATTTTTCAGTCAAGCATACTCTGTGAGAAGGTTTGCTTTTATTCCAAAAATTCCATTATTTAAATTCATACAATTCCAGACACTCTTGTTTGTGAGCTGCTGCCACAATGACACACTAGTTTACAGGTGATCTGGAGGCTCCCTGTAGTCAGGAGAATGCATCTCTGCAGCAGCCAGACAGCAGACAAAAAATGCTTCAGAAATGGTTTCTAAAATGGTGTTGGCTAGCTGACTTTGACTTTATTGTGATAATATGGCAGACAACTGAAGGAATTCAAATATTCACATGCCTGCACATCTTTTCTGTCATCAGTAGTAAAACAAACAATTTTCTTCAAGTTGTTGCAAATTATGGAGGATAATAAATCATCTAGGTAAAACTTTTGGCAGTAAGGCTTTAGCGCCGGAGGCTTTTAGTTTAACAATTTACATTGGGCTGTAGTTATTAGTGTATTTAATAAAATAACATTGAGTAAACTATTGTTTGTGGATGAATTGACAGCAGCTATTAGTGATGAGGTGGCACGCTAATATAATCAAAGTTTCAAAGAATCACACTCTCACAAGTTGCACACATGGATATCGGTTCACACAATTAATGACAAAAGGCTGACACTCAGGACTGAATCCCTTCGAGGTAATATTTCAAAATAACCGCATAAGAAAACCTTGAGTATTGTAGGTTTTGGTAAAAAATGCATTACTCTAACTTTCCATGTGCAGATCGCACATTTTCATGGTAAAATGATCATTTCATGAAACTGCAGAGACCAGAAAACATTTCAAACATAAAAGAAGATGAAAATAAAAGTTGTTAAAGACCAGAAGAAAAACAATAAGGTGGAGAAACTGACTGTTAATAAGAAATGGTTAGTGTTTATGGGTCTCAATGTTCTTTGTCAAGAACAACTTAATTCATTGAGGAGAGGAGTCTGAAAATTTAAGATCCTCAAACTGCAGGTGAATAAAGATCACCCCCCCCCCACACACACACACACTCTACTGGATTCACTTCATAGCCCAAATGTCAAAATTCATTGAATGGCAGATTCACAGTCTAGACTTGAATCCTTTTATAATCTGTGGAATTACATTAAAAAGCAGCATTTTCCCAGACACTCCCTCGTCAACTTGACCAAGCTTGTGCAAATCTGTCTGGTAGAAAAGCTGAAAATACCAAAATAGAGACATATCCAAAAGTGTATGAATCACTGCCAAGAGGTGCTCCTGTAGAGTGCTGTCACAGGGGTTGAATGTTTCTGTATTATACACTGAAAATTTTTAAGCACAAGTACAAGGGAAACTGAATGGTTTCTGAAGGCACTGTATGCATCTCCTACCACCTGCAAGATTTCAAGTCTGAAAGCTCTGTCCTTCTCACTCTCTGCGCAAGTATTATTTCAAACAAACACCACCTTCAAAGGTGAATGAGAACATGACATTGTTAGAAAGTCAGCTTCCCTGTGGAAGAAACTTTTAACTTTTAAATCTTATATTAATCAAGGTCCACTCCAACTTGAAAGCTACAGAAATGAGTCGAGATTTGAATTTATAGAGTGACATAAGGACACAAGAGTGTTTTTTCTTTGTTTATTGCAAACGGAAAAAGTGCTCCTCCTTCCCAATTAACCTACTTCACACCGAAATGTAATTTAGACTTAGAGTGGGGCTGCTTAACAATTCAAAAGATGGAAGAGTGTTTAACTAAATTCAGGTGATAATGTCACTGGAATAACACTTGGGTGGGCAATTTATTTCAGAAGCATTTTTGTCATATTTGTTGACATTCTCTTTACATCCTGACAGCAATAAATAAATTACATGCTCAGACTAGGGCTGGATGATATGGCCAAAAATGTTATCCCGATAAAAAGTTTAATATCTTTCGATATTGATAATTATCACGATAAGTTTCAAATCTTTATTTCTTTTGAGTTTAAAGGCTGATTTGTGCTACTGAGGGAAAGTTGAAGAAACCTGATGGTTAATTGTGGTTTAAACTCATCTTTATGGTCAACACTTGAGGCCAAACAGTGGATCACTTCAGAAATCTGAAGCAGAATATTCAAAACAATTATGATAAAATCTTTTTCAACACATATGCGTGAGTAAAATTAAGTAAAAGCTTTTCTTCAGTCCTTTTTCCTCAACAAAATAACCATCTTAATAAAAAAGGAAGTCCTAATTTGTGTATAATTCAAGTGAATAAAATCAAACATTTGTTGAATCTTAATTGAACATTTGTTATATTGTTATTGAAAAAAATTATATTGCGATAATTATTATTATTGTTTTATTGTCCAGCCCTTGCTCTGACCCAAAAAAGAAAACAAAAATCCGCTATCTGTGGCTGTCACGGGATTGTAATAAGCAAGTGGGGTTTTTTTGGTGGGGGGTTAAGTCCTAACACACACGTGCACATGTACTAACAAAAACAGGAACACATGCATGAATGCACATGATCACACACTGTACACTGGTAAACACTTGCAAATACAGTACAAAATACACATACAATGTTTGAACAGAAAATGTATGAATGGTACATTTGGTTGCATACATGTGTGCGTGTATTCATAGCTGTGGTTACTTACTGGCAGTCTTTGCGGGTTGGTTTGTAGTAGTAGGCTGGGACAGCAGCCTCATATTTACTCTTCATCAGCTCATTACCATTCTCCACCATGAACTGCCAAAACACACACACACACACACACACACACACACAAAATGAGACAGATTATTCAAGGATTAATGACACCCAGCACATTACCTGACAGTTTTACAGTAAAATAAAAATATGCTGATAAATACAACACATATTTTAGATAAAGATGTGCAAAGTACCAAAATCATTTATTATCTGGTATCTGTGAATCCCTTGCACAGTTTCAGGAACATTGTGAAATGTATTGGGCAGGAATGTGATGTCCTAACATTTCAGAAACTATTAGGCAAACGGGAAATATGCTTATTCCTTTTCCTGCTGAGAGTTAGATATCACTCTTATTAATTATAATAAATAATAAATGACCACCAGCAGCCGTTTAGTTTTGCTAAGCACAATGATTGGAAATGGGGAAACACCAAGCCTGGCTCTGACTAAAAAATCCAATTAACATTACCTCTAAAGTTCACAAGTCAACACTTTATATCTTGTTTGTCTAATTTTGGCAAGGAACTAATTGTAAAAATGACAAATCACCATTTTAAGATGAGTTATGTGCCAGGCTAGACTATTTCTTCGCAAGTACCACTAACTTCCTGGAGTCTCTCTCAAGGTTGCCTGCCAACTGGTTGCAGTTAAAAACAACAAAAACCAGAATGAAAATCAGTAACAGAGCAACAAACGTTTTTTTTTTTGCCACTGTGATCACACAGAACAATTCAGTACATGGATTGTTGTTAGTATTTTTTACATACACATCAATGCATTCACTGAGAGTGGCAGCTGGTTGTTAGGGAAACAAATTGCTCATCACCGAACCAACTTTTTCAAATTATCACCACAGTTTCATTCAGTAAATACAACCCTTCCAACTCAGGGAAGTGTTACTTAAAAGACAAGACGGAAGAACAGCAGAAGGTCTTAGTCAGTGAAATATTTAAATTGATCCTGTGTATTCTGTCCAAACATTGAGGCTCTTTGCTCTGGCTCTGAGGTCTCACCTGAACCTCGTGGTCCTCCCAGTGGGAAAGGGTCAGGGACTTGACCTTGCTGATGCTGGGTAAATTGCGGTGGATCCCAGAGCAGTCCAGACAGATGAACACCCCCAGGGAGCAGGAGCCCCACCCGGGAACTGCAGAGAGGGAGATGGAGAGAACAAATGGAATATGGGGATGAATGCATAAGAGGAGAGATGGTGTGGTGGATATGGAAGGACAGACATAAACTGAAAGAGAGAAGAGCTAAGAGAGAGGGATACAAGCTATTAAGTCCAAGGAGTCAAGACCTACATGTTTGATTTTAACAATAAATCAACTGTTTTTTGATTAGTAAGTAATCTCTAAACAAAATAGTGAAAAATTACCATCACAAGTTCTGAGACCCCTACGTGGAGTCAGAAGAAATCTTTATGAAATATAATGTTGGACTTATTTAGCTTTAGCTGTAGCACTACATCACATTGCAAAGCCACGCTGACAGTGCCATCTCCACTAACCAGTTTTCCAGGGGAAACCCTGAGGTGATGACTTTAGTTTACAAGTCAAATTAACATTCCATTTAGATATTTTATCTGTAACAAAGACAAAGACAGCAACTCCTCAGATTTTGCTTTTGAAAATTACACTACTGATTATCTGATTTTTTTAATTGTTTCTGATGAAATTCTTGGCAGTCAACTAAGTGATGGGACTAATGACAATTCCTCTGAAAATACACAACCTTTTTAAATGGATGATACATATTAAGTCTTATAATGACAGCACAACTCATACTGAACAAAAAGTCAGTCAATTATGACAAAGAAACAAGCAGTCAAACCATTCAGACCATTAGCAATCAATGATGAGACAGCTGTCGACAGCACAGTTATTTATTCTTATACTGTGAAAACTAAAATTAAGTTTCTGAACACCTTCATTTCCAGGGAAAGTGTAAAATGCCCAAATGCACTCACCATGCTTCACATTAGATGTGTATTTGGACTGTGACCTTTCGCCTCTTTAGGAAGAGTTTGGGTTTCTGTGTCTTGCTCAACTCAAGAAAGCATTGCACTTTCTGTGAAGATTCAAATCTTGTGTTCATAAAACACAAATAAATCCAACCAGAGAGACATTTTCTTTGTTTGAACCACACCCGTTTTATTTTCCTGACACACATTCTACAGCCTGCCAGTAAACAGTGTGTGTGTGTGTGTGTGTGTGTGTGTGTGTTACTGTTTCACAATGCCTGAGAGATAGCAAGATAAAAAGTAACCTGCCCATACATACACATACCAAAAAGGGACCTTCTTTTGTCCCTGATCACGAGGAACAGAGAAAATTAGTTTAAATGGAATATGTCCCAGAATGTGACTGGATGGACTGAATCTTGGAACTTGGCAGAGTACGCTGTCTTAGCAAGGCACTTAACCTGGCAGCTCCAGTGCAACGCCTTGTCGTGTGTTTTATCAGCCACAGAAATGTTTCATTCCCTAGACAGACAGACTGGAATTCATGATTTAGTGTAGTTAAGCTACTTTAAAATGACACAAGTATTCATTTGTACAATAATTTCTTATATTGAAGTACATATAAACTGCTATTACAGAAAAATACTAAATTAAGTGTTCCTTTATAAAACTACATCAAATGGAAAGGAAAGCTGGTAGCTAGCTAAAGCAGAATGCATCTTCATTAGGTATTGGTTGTGATAATAATGTCTTTGGGTAAAATAGTCAACATAAACAAGATGTAAAATGGAGGCATTCAAATATATTTTTTACAGTTTGCCAGCCAGTCAGCCTGAAAACTTTAATCATTTTAGTTCACCGCTACTCCTTTGCAGTGCAGTATAGTTCCTATAATGTAGCCTACCTAAGATTTCTAAGTGAGCTGAGTTAACTCCACAGTTGGTAAGTACTAGGCAGGGGTGTGTGCATCCCTTCACTCAGCAAGTTAAGACTTGTTGAACTTTGAAAGATCCTTCTCTTGCAGCCTACAACACAGGATACTACGTTGTACCTGCACAGGTACCCTCAAGAGTTCCCAACTCACCTTGCCACTTATTTAATGTCAGAATAACAAAACGCAAAATCAAAAAAAGTGTCTGGCACATTTAGTTTTATGTTAAATATCAAGTTCTAGACTCTGAAATACTTTGGTCTGCAGTGGTTGAAAAAAGGCTTATGATGTGTTTTAAAGAATACCTATAACTACCTTGTTGGTACAGGTACACCAAACGCTCCCCACCTCCTACACGTGACATCTCAGCAACTCAAGATATGCTATAGGCTAAATGTGATTTCCTTGTTCGTAACATTTCACTGCTAAGAGATTTTTTCACATTACCCGATGCACCGCAGTCTGCGCAAGTGTCATTTCCAGGGATTTGCAGGATCTCCTTCAGTGCACGCGTTGCTCTCTCATTTGCTGACATTTCAGTGTTCAGGTCGGATATTCCTGCGCTTTCAGTGAGAGAGAAGGTGGAGCAGGGGGGGGGCCACAAAAGATAAGTAAGGTGTGTCTCCTCGGGCTCGACTGCTACCTAACGGGCCTGGGCGAGTTTGCACAGGTAGGTATGCGCCCTCAGCAAAGGCCAGTTGCACGGTGTGCCTCAGATTGAAGAAAAATTAAATCAAAGCCTCTTCATAAGTTTTCACAAAAAAACTCCATTCTGTCTTCTCTTTTGCCGCGGGCCAGATAGCGAGTGTTGATACCCTTCAGGTGGTCTGTGAGGCGCGTCCTGCCGAAGTCTGGAGCCAAATCACCGCCACAGCCCCCCAGTGCTCTGTGCTCGGGAAGGTGCGTGAACGGCAGTGAAACTCTACACGAGGAAGTGAAGTGGAGAGGCTGTTCAGACTTGCTTTTCCGCATAATTCGAGGTTTGTGTTGCCTATGCACACAGCTCAGTGCGGCCACATTTCAACATCTTATGAGTCAGTCGGCTGTAGTGTAGACCCAATTATAAATCTGTAAGAACTGCAGTGGGTGAGGACTACAAAAGACACAAAGAACAATAAAAAGCACGTGCCTTTGGGTTACCTGTGGTCACTATCAGATGAAAACGTGGGCAATTAGCCTATAAGATCAGGTCAATTTAATATCAAGTAGAATACCCTGGATAATGAATGTGAGATTAGTACCACATTTAAGGCAGATATGCTATATTTCATTGAGTAGCCTATAATGAGGCTTGGTTGTGTTACAGTGGTGGAAGTCATGAGAAGTATTGAGATAGGTAGTTTAGTCCATAACAATTAGCGGTGGAAGTATTAGGCCTACATAGATTATTTACTTCAGTAAAAGCATTAGTGCAACAAAGTAAAAATAGAGCAGAAGTATTATCAACAAAATGTACATAACATATCAAAAGTATTCATTCTGCAGAACAATTGGCCGATATGACTGATATATAATTTTTAAATATGACATTCTTAGATTGTTACTAATGCAGTAATGTAAGCAGCATTTTAGCTGTAGTGTACTTGTTAGTGTAACTACTTTGGCTCCCTCCAAAGGATCATAGGAGAAAGGTTGTGAGAGGATTGATGGGGTAAGAAAGAAAAGAAAAAGTTTTTCTACACAAATCTATGTTCATTTTATAACTTCTTATGTGAAATATATGCTCTGTAGCCGTTGAACAGTTATTTAAATGGACTCATGTTGGGGGGAGTGGTTCTTTGGTTGAACTGCTTACAACTAAGACATCTGAAACCTGACAAGGAGCCCCAAATGTAAATGGGCTGCAAGATAAAAAGTTTAGGAACCACTGGTTTAATATTTAATAATATTAGTAACAATTACAAGAAATCCTAATGCTACACCATACGCTTATATTTCGGACAACAGTGTGCTTCTAACTTTGTGGCAACACTTTAGTTAAGGCCCTTTCCCGTTTCAACATGACAATGACTAAGAAATATGAATCTGAAAGTAACGTCAGTGTTACATACATATTAGGGCAGCAAAAAGTATGCAATTTCATATATGCAGAAAAATGTTTATTAAGGTAGAATAGAAGTAAAAACTAGAATCAAATGATAAAACTCACTTTAGACATAAGGTATGCCTCTTGTGGGTAGCTCCATGTTTGGTCAGTAGGTGGCAACAGTTCATCACTTTTCAGCCTGTTATGAATAGTGTCTTTAGTTGTATGGGGTACAGGTGTGGCTGTCAGTGATGTACCTTTGTAGCCTAAATCTGCCTTTTAACCAGATACCGCTCACCTCCTTCCAGAACCATGAAGCATGTAGTATACACAGGCTGGTGGGAAGAAGGTGCCTCATTTGCCTGATATCACTAATAATAAATCAGCAGCTCAAAAAATCTAAATTCTATAGTCTGTGCAAGTACACCAAAAACATTCTCAATTTGAAGTAACTTCCCTTGCACCTGAACATTCACATTCCCAGTTCGGTTACTGTAAGTGAGATTGATAGCAGTTTGGCCCATTTGACAAGTCAGCGAGCAAGCGGGGTCTGATGTAATTTTGCAGTAGTGGATTTCCTCTGTGACAGCAAAAGGCTAATGCCGAGTTTCCCAGTCAACACCAATCCAGCAGACAGTGGCTTGTCTATTCTCTCCCACTCTGGTCCCTAAATGTTTCTTTCCTTTCTGCCAATTTTCGAGTTGGATAATAACTGTCAAGCGGTGGGTTGGTGACACCTAAATGATTGAGGTTGATTGAAGTCTGTGTGTGTGTGTGTGTCCATAGGTGGGAGGACTGTAGTTAAACCAACTAGATTTTGCCACAAACTCTAACCAGCCAATAATGTAGTCAGTGCAAACTTGAAATCTGTTCTCCCTCTGCTTCTTTCAGCTGTCATTTCAGTGCAAAATTGCTCCACTCCATTCACCTCCAGTTCATCACATCCAGGCTCAGGTCGAGCTTATCAGAAGTCCTCACACCACAAATGTTCAGTTTTCTCTTCATGCCATCACCACCACCTGTGTCTCGACTCCATTGGGGTTTTCTAAACCACTTAACAGCTTCACCACCCCATTTAAATACCATGTCAGTGAATTATTTGTTCACTTAGATGAAGTCTGTGCTGATTGAAATGAATTCATACTTTAGGTACTTTATAGTGTCTTAGCTGTTTCCTCTCTGTCTTATTTTTCCCCCATCGTCTTGTCACTTGTATGACTTTTACCTCTTTCTCCTGTTTTCTTTGACTTTCGATTATTATTATATATTATTATACATTGGCCCTGGAGTTTGCTTACGCCTGAAGCTGAAGGCAAACTTTTGACCACATAATTTGGTTGTATATTCCCCTTTATTTATAACAACGATTTGGAGCTAAGACTGCACACTGTATTTCCTCTCTGTCTCTGATGATTTATATGCACGCAGTTGGTGGCATTTTGAAGCTGGCTGGGTATGACAGGGACTAAATGGCAGCAAGTCCTGGCCATTAGTATGTGTCTTGCTGGGTGCTTCTGACATATCATGCCCTGTCTGTGGCCCTGCCTTTGAGTCTGGACTCTAAGTCTATTCTGTGAGATATAGCTATAAATAGTCTACAGAAGTTGTCCAACAAAGTTAAAATCAATCCTCTTAACTGGGTGCTAAATGGTTGAAGACTTTTAATTTTAATTTATTGTTTACGAGAACGTAAAAGTTGATATTGGTCAGAAAATCCAGGTGACTGGAACACAAACTGGAGTAACCAGGAGCTTGGACCATCAGGCGGAAACTGTATCAACCAACATCAAGGGCAAGGACAAGAATAAAAGCACATCAAACAGGGTTTGAAAACCTGTGGCTACTGACCAGGCCTTTATTAAAACACATGCAATTTTTGTCTACTGCTTGATCACACAAGCAGAACATAATACCTTACAATAAAGTGCATCCAGTAAACAACAAACTTAAGACAGGAGGATTTAGGATTGGGTTTTATGATCCCACACAGTAATGTGACAGCAGCTGTGCAGGCCTTGCTGTCACTTTGTGTTTATATGCATGTAAAATAATAATTGTGACTTATCTGATTAGGGATATTATGTGATGCGATTCCTCACAAAAGTCACGGTTAATGATGTTTGTATCTACTAGGACTGACCCTGAAAAGTGGAAGATTCGATGCTTCGATGGGTGGAGCCTGATTCGAATTTCAACCCTGAAGAGATGGAGCCCCAGCTTCACTGGTGCCGAGTTGTCCGCACCTCGCGGGACTTTCAGATAATTTCACCGTTGATGAACCACATAAAGAATATTTTATCGTTTTGAAATAGACCTGCATATAGTTGTTGGTAGCACGGCATGCACGCTAAACTCTGCACAAGACAGGTGAATTGCAGGACGGACAGACAGACGGACAGACAGACAGACAGACAGACAGACAGGCAGAGAGAGATCGATCACAAAGCCCTAACATACCAGGAGCTGAAACCAGAGAAGAGTCCCCTCAGCCATCTGGTCTTGAGGCTCTTTGCAGTAACAAGTCCCCAACAGCCTCAGGACAGCAATACCAACTCAAGCAGACCAAACCAAATTATTAGCAAGCAGAAAGAAAAATATATTGAATACTGGAAAGAAACAACCAAAACACAAAGTAAATTACAATGTTATCTGACCCTAAAAAAGAGAATTCACACTTGCAAACTACCTGAGTACAATAAAATGTCCCAAACTATGAAAAATGTTGACAACATACAGACTGAGTGAACACAGCTTGGCCATAGAAAAGGGTCGCCACAGACAGAGCTGGCTACCACAAGAGGAGAGACTCCCAGTGTGACAGGGGACAGTTAGAGACAGAGCTGCACTTTCTAAACTCATGCCCTAAATATAAAACACTAAGACAAAAACACTTTGCAAACATTTCCCAAATATACCCCGAATTCGAATTCATATCAGACACACAGAAACTCCCCTATTTACTGGGTAAAATGCCCAAATGTGAAATAATTGCTGCAAAATATGCCTCATCATGCCGTGAAGTGAGGACAACCAATGGAATTATACAGATTTTCAAATTATTATTATTTTGATCGTTTGATATTTTAGTAATTGTTGTTGTTGTTTTTACATTTGACACTGATTTTATTTTATTTATTTCCTTCTTTTTATTTTATTATTATTTTTTAATCAATTAATTATTAAAAAAACTCTCACTATATATATATATATATATATATATATATATACACACACACATACATACATACATACATACACACACACACGTTACTGTTTCATTTATTTATTTTATTTTTTAATATTTTTTATTTTTCACACACACACACACACACACTTACTGTTTTATTTATTTCATTTTATTTTTAATATATATTTTTTAACACACAAAAACACACACGCTTACTGTTTTGTTTATTTATGTATTTTTAATATATTTTTAAACACACACACACACACACACACACACGCTTACTGTTTTATTTATTTATTTTTTATTTTAATTTTTAATATTTTTTTTAACACAAACACACATACGCTTTGATTACTTTACTCTTTAATTACTTGTTTAATGAAATGTATGGGGTTGATTGTACTTATGTTGTATGTATGATGCTTTGGCAATGTTGTTGTTACACATTCATGCTAATAACACTAATTTGAATTGAATTGAGAGAGAGAGAAAAAAAAGGGTCTTCAAAAAGCCTCAGTTTAGCTGGAAATTTACAGTGTAAGTTGAATGAAAAGAGACTGCAGCTTCTCAAGATTAAAGCGGAGCTACCATGTGTACCACCCCCCTCGCAATCGCTGCGCACAAAAACACACAGATGGGACATTAACATCTTTTTTCATTGTCTTATTTTTGAGAAATGTTATAATCTCCTCTTTGGTCCACACATATTGGATGCTTTGTCTGCTGCTAATTTTCATCTCTTCAATGGAGCAGATCACTTCCACGAACAGCCATTGTCCAGTTATAGTTTAATAACCATAGGACTCTAATAAGAGGTACATGGGGAAAAAATACTATTTTAATTATTTTTTTTAAATCATAGTGTAGCTACTATTAGAACCAGCTAGTTCTACCCTATAATACACAATTAATTCTGCTGTTCTGTGCTTTTCTACATGGATCATTCACTGGGAAAAAAAATATTTCCCTGGAACCTAGCTTACATAACTCAGTCTTACAGGAATTTTGAAGGGCAGTTGCTCTGACCTGAAAAAAGGCACTAAACACAGTATCCAAAATGTATTAACAATATAAATGTCACCAAAATACATATGAGAAAAAGAGTTCTTATATTATTGTTTATTGTTTTTTTAATCATTATTATTTTTATTTTTTTTCCTTTTTTTTTTAATTTGAAAATAAATAATCTAGATTGAATTGACAGATGGGGAAAACTCGCTTCTAATAAAATATATAAAAAACGCTTAGATTTCGGAAAAAAATACAATCCTTTTTTAACCTTTTGGCTTCCCGTACATTCAGTTGCGCTTCTAGCTCGTATTCACTTCTGTTGGTACGTATCACGTATGGTAACTGGGCAAAACTACGCATGATTTGTTGTAGTATGATTGCATAAAGGAAGGAAACAGGAATTCCGGTAGGGAACAGAATCGACTGACGTGCAGGCAGCGCTGCAGCAGTGCAGCCACTTAAACAAATTTGCCCTTCCCCTACTGACTTTCACTTTCGGTGCCCGAATGGAAGTGAATGAGGCTTTGCGATCGCGATTATTTTTTTATTTTATTTTTTTTTCTCGGAAGGGCAACTTGAGTCAGGAAAGGCAAACGGGCAGTTGCCCGGGCAACCAGAGCAACCCCCCTGTGCACGTCCCTGTATTATATTGTGCGTATTTAAGATATTTTACAGGCTTTTTATTTTAAAACAAATCAGCTTGAGACAGAGTTCTCAGCACACAAAGTTTTAACATTGGCTTACAATAGCTAGCTACAGCTGAAGAAATCTGCTATCAATAATTGTCATTTCAGTTGACAAAATCAGCTAGAAATTCTGTGAATTTGGTATCCAGAGGTTAATCTGGCCAGTGAATGGTCAATTCGGATTTATAGAGGAAAACTAGATTACTGTGAACCATAGAAATTGCATTAACATAACTATAACCTTATTGTGGTTATTAACAGTCAAAAAGTTAAGTCTGCAGAAAAAGGCTGAACTTGTGAATGTGTGATGAGACAGACACAAGAAAAAAAAATAAAGAGAGAGGGACAGAGAGAAACCATGAAGGAGAAACAAAAGCCAAAATTATAGAAACTTCAGGAGAGAGTAAAGTGATGAGACAGGCAGATAAAAACACAAGTACACAGACTATGAATAAATGAAAAAGAAGGGGGAAAGAAAGAGAGAAAGGATGAGAGCAAATTGAGAAAAAGAGACACTGAGCCACAGACAACAAACTGAGAAAAGAAAGGAGGAGAGAAGCAGGAAGGAAGAGGACCATAGACTGTATAGGACCTGAGTGAGAGACAGAATGGGAAACAGGGAGAACCAGACAGACCCAGAGAGGAGGGAAAGAAAGCGGAAGAGAGCATATTACTCGTGGAAGACTCTGTCATGGAGTTAATGGGGTTTTGCCACTTCCTATCATCCGAGTGCCTTTTGAACCGTGGCCTTTGCATACAGAAAGATCATTAACTCTCAGCGCTGCATCCTCCAGGGGCCTTGTCTCTACGTCTGCAGCACGACATGTCAGTAAGAGCCTGGTGCCTGCCTCCCTGCTTCCATTTAAATCTGCACTACATACTTTATGTAACAAGTCACTTGAATTAGCAGCCTAAATAAAAAAAAAATGAGGCTTTAACACAGAAGAGAGCACAATTCTCTCTAATTGAGAAATTGTAGATTCCCTCTGTTTGAATATATTTATTCAGAAATAGATTAAGCCAAGAGTGGGAAAGTGACATAAAAAAACTTGCAACTAGCAAGCTTTCCATCCAGAACAGTTCAAGGAAGTCTACAGTTGAAACAGCTGCTTCTTTTTGGGAGGACAGTCTACTAACAAATGTGTCAGTGTTGTGTTCACAGTTTGTTACCCTGCCTCCAAGTGGCCAAACAAATGCAAGTTTAACATGATGCACAATTCTTAATGATGACATCAATGAGCATAAATGCTTTGTTGTCACTACCACTCTGCCTCATTCAAACATTTCAACGGATTCATAAACAGGAACTGCAACCAACTCACATCTTTACATTAGACCACATAGGAAACAAGTGTGTTGCTCAGGGGCAAACACACAGCTGCTCATGGGGAAGGTAAGCAAGGATGCCTGATATTATAAGCAGCTAATGTTGCAATAAGCTCTGGGTCAAGAACTGAACCCCCAAACTGCTGAGAGAAGCAGGGTAGGGATGAGGATAGATAGGTGGGATACCTACTGGGTAATCAGGTGGATAAATCCACAGTCAGGAGGTGGAGAGAAGAAGGAACCAGAGAAGGAGGGCCAGAGCCAGAGGGAGGTTACTGTCATACATCCCCTCCCTTCACCTCGCCTCCTCTATTTAAGCAGATTCACCTGATCCTGTGGTACAGCCTAAATACCACACACGCACACGTTGATTCAAGGTGTGCATTGATATTTCAGAGTTTGAAAAAATGAAAACAACTCCTCTTATCTAGCTCAAAATGGATTGAAAAAGACAACTTTCATGCTTACACAATTAAACACATTGCCTGGAGTTAAACAGGAGGAGAATTAAGCACAACAAATAAGCGAGACAGCAAGTCTCGGTTGTGCTGCCATCCATTCTTGTTGGAAGCGTACCTACGTTCCCTGGGTCCTACGTTCCCTAACTTCCTAACCCTAGGACTGGAGAACATAGGACTCTGGGAACATAGGAATGACCCCATTCTGCTTAAATGAAGAACAGAATTTGCCATGTTTCCACTAATTTGTTGTACTTGATGAATGCAGCACCTGTATTCTCTGTAATTTTTATATCTGTGTTCTTTTGTCTCTGATGTGGTGTTATGCGTGGGGCGTGGCACTTGGACGCTGACTATGGCAACTCCCACTCTGGGATTCATTATCCAATACATTTTAAATCCTGTTCAACCAATTATGTACAATGAAAATTGTACACTTGTTCTCTTGACTCTGGGTGCATCTCAACTCTCTGCATGGTGCATGGAGAGATGCAAGGAAACGATGTGAGGAGAGAGGAAAAAAAGGAAATATGTTTTTAACGAAATTAGACTTCCATTCCTTTGAAGTGTCATTTTAAGCCACGTCTACTTCTGATGACGACGACTTTTGATGTTTGACTTTGTGATTTCACTCGTACACTGTGCCAATAGTAATAAGGCACACAGTTGACTGCCAGAGCAGTATGTTTTCTCTCTGTTAAACAGGTAACAGTTACAAACACCTACACATGAACAACCTGCATTTATACTGTGTACTGCTCAGAGGCACATCATTTCTAATGGCAGAATGTGTTTCTATAATTTATTCATTATTTGCATCTGTATTTGATTTTCTGACTGTGAATTCATTATTGAATAACTCAGAATGCGACCATGGTGTCTTTTGAACATTGGAAATGATTTATTGGGCTAAATGTTTCAGCCAAAATTTTAGAGGAAGCAAGTCACATCAAACCATCATAACAGTTAATGGGGGAAGTAACAGATCATGAAAAAAAATCCAATAAATGAATAAAGTTGTTTGTGGTCCTTTTATTGTTCAGACCTACAATGAACACAGAAAGGGCTGAAAACCCAAGTGGGCTCAGCACCAAACGGCTAACCAGAGTTGGCAAGACACAGGTCTTAGCTGCTAAATACCAAGATATGTTTCCCAGATGCTGAAGGAAACCAAAACACATCTAAAAAAGAGTGACATGATTCCATTATACTGAAATTGCCAAATAGATGTGAAAATAGGATATATGTTAACAACTTCACCTTAACTTTAAAAGCAGCATAAAAGGTGATATGTAAATGTTTTCTTCTATTGCACACAAGTATACAAGAAAATAAATGACAAAATCAAATGCGTCTTAAAATTTTACGAAGTAAAGTGGATTACAAATGAATGCTAGCACAATCCAGCTCTTTGCTTTGTTATGACTTAAATAGTGAATCCAAGTGTGAGACACAGAGAGGCAGGAGACTGGAGTTAGAAACAAAGAAGCTTCTTTATTTGGGAGCTTGGGAGGGAATGGATATGAGCCAGAAATGAGCTGAGCAGAGAGGAAGCCTGGGAGCGTGGATGACTGAGCTGGTGAGCAGGGCAGGAGGAAAACCAGGGATGAGCTGAACCAAATGTCCACGATGGAATCTATGCTTGAGCTGAGCAGGGATCCAGGGCAGAGGGGCAAAGCCAAGAAGACAGGTACTGGAGCAAAGCAGACGGAACTGCAGGGAGAGGAAAAAAAACAATTAGGCTGGGGTAAACAGGCAACAAGCAAATGTCAAACAATGGCTTGAATAATAGACTGACTGAGCTGGTGCTATAACCTGGCAACAAGTGGAAGAAGAGCATATGCAGGAGAGGTGATGAGCTGATGCATGGCAGGTGTGTAGGCTGCTAGAGGTAATGCGGTGATAAATAGCAGATGCGCATGTTGAGCAGAGCCAATAGCCACGAGAGTGAGGAAGGACAATGTAGGCTAACTAATCTGACAGTCTGCTTTTCTATGAATCCACTTACCTTTTTACTGTACTAATAGATTTTTAAAATAGCCTACCTTTGGCATGACTCTTGTCGAATCTCATTGTTTGACCTTTAATCATCATCATAGAATTTGTTATCCACTTCTGTTTAGTTTCATAGTTGTTTCCAGAAACTTTTTAAACTCTTTAACCTTTATTAGAAGTGTGTTCAGCTCACTGCAAAGCTGTGTACCTGCATACATACTAAAGGCAGAAGAGAACATGTATGTATTTGTGTGTGTACATGTGTATGTTTCACAATGTGTCTCTGTCTCTTCTTGATCAAAAATAGAAAATAAGGTTGTCATTATGATGGATCCATAGGGCAAACCCAGGTCTTTTTCACTCAGCAGGCTGAGGTCTGAGTCCCATGTGAAAGAAAATTGAAAGTTGACTTACAGGTATTTAAAGTTTTAAGTCAAATAATGTTATGTAGGTGACTTATGTCACGTGACGTACGTTACTTATGTAATGTAATTATTTTAATCTTTTCCTAAACCTAACCAAACTGTAACCATTTCACAATGTTAACCAGATATTTAACATCATGTGATTTAGGTACATAAGGTCCTGTCGCTGGACTGGTACTTTCCAATGGTCATAGTTGTCTGGGACAATTGACATCAACCTATTTTGATGTTTGTTGCATAACTTACTAACACACACACACACAATATAGTACTGTATGTACCTTGTGTTTAGGTTGCATGGAGAAAAGCACAAAGAATGAGAAAGCAGGACCCACGTTTGAGGCCATTCTTGTGTCAGCTGATAGTGTGCTTTAATTGTGAATAATTCCAACTCAGCAACTGTTTTAAGGCCCTTGGAGTTCTGGGGCCCTGGGATAGTTTCGTACTTTTACTTCTTTTCCCCCCTTTTGGTAATCCAGCAATGTACCTAAAAAAAAACATGTGTTTGACCCAAACTCATTGTGTTTACGAAGTATACAGGGCACCATGAGATTAGGGGCAGATTATCGGGGGCTGTGGCATAGGAGATAGAGTGTGTTGCCCGTTAAATCGGAAGATTGGCAGTTCAATCCCCGGCTCCTCCAGACTGCATGTTTCAGCTCCCTCCACAGATATTCAATATGATTTAGATCAGGATTTTTACTGTGTTTTGGGTCATTTTCCTGTTGGAGGACCTGCGACGGAGACCAAGCTTCCTGACACTGGGCAGCACATTTCGCTCCAGAATGCCTTGATAGTCTTGAGATTTCATTGCACCATTTACAGATTCAAGACACCATGTGCCAGATGCAGCAAAGCAGCCCCAAAACATAACCGACTCTCCTCCATGCTTCACAGGTGGTACAGTGTTCTTTTCTTTGTATGCTTAATCTTTGCGTCTGCGAACATAGAGCTCATGTGACTTGCCAAACAGCTCCAGTTTTATCCCATCTGTCCAAAGGACATTCTCCCAGAAGCTTTGTGGCTTGTCAATATACTTTTTTTATGATTTGCTTTCAACAGTGGTGTACTCCTCGGCCGTCTTCCAATAAGTCCACTTTGGCTCAAACAGCGACGAATGGTGTGATCTGTCACTGATGTACCTTGACCTTGGAGTTCACCTCTCTAGCCATTTGTATTATCCGTCTCTTCGATTTGACATCAATCTTCCACTTGCGGCCACATCCAGGGAGGTTGGCTACAGTCCCCTGGACTTCTGAATAATATGTGCAACTGTAGTCACAGGAACATCAAGCTGCTTGGAGATGGTCTTATAGCCTTTACCTTTAACATGCTTGTCTATAATTTTCTTTCTAATCTCCTGAGACAGCTCTGGCCTCAGCTTTCTGTGGTTCATGTTCAGTGTGGTACACACCGTGATATCAAACAGCACAGTGACTACTTTTCACCCTTTAAATAGGCAGACTGAGTGATTACAAGTTTGTAGACACCTGTGATGCTAATTGCAGGACACACCTTAGTTTAACATGTCCCTATGGTCCAATTAGTTCCAATATTTTCTAGGGGTACCATCATTTTTGTTCAGGTCAGTTTCATCAGTTTACAATTATTCTGTTAAGCCACAATTCAAAAGCAATGTCTGATTTTCATCAATGACTTTTCAGTAAATTTTAATTCATTATTACTCTACTTTTACTTTTGTCAGTTTCAAGTTATTTCAGGGACCATTGTGGGGTTTTCTTCTTTTAACGGAAGGGTACCAACAATTTTGTCCACGGCTTTACATCCAGAGGAAGCAGAAAACTGCAACAGGAGGCTGAGAAATCAATGTCTGCTGTGGTATTGATCTTAATGCAGGCAGGGAACGAGGATGGAAAATAAGCAAGTGTCCAATTTTAGTTTATTGTTTATAAATATCAGATGATTAGATAAAAATAAATGACATATTGCCAAATTTATTTTATGATTGTCTTATTCAATAAAACTTTGACTGGAATCGCAGACATGCAGAAGACATTCTCTCAGCTGAAGAGTTGTACTGCTGAATGTGAGGTGGTGTTGTTCCAGTAATAAATCTGTTTCTTGGTAACTTTTCACTGTTTGTGTAATTGAGTGAGAGTGTTGTTAGAAGACAAAATCAACAATTTTGGTACTGCAGTGACCACAGATCTGATGGCAAATTGTCTTCCCTTACATTTTAAATAATTGTATTAAGAATGCTTTTGCAAGAAAAAGAAAAAACTCCTCATGTAATGCAGGCAATTTGTCCATAAAAAAGCCTCCATAAAAACTTCAGCATCATGGTCAGAAGAGCACAACTAAATGCTTCCGTTGGTATAAAAACAGTTTTTTTTTGTTTTTTTAGATAAAGTAGCCTTCCTACTGTACCACAACAATGATTCTCTACAGCCTCGATCACCTATCAGATTTTACTTCTCTAAATGTTTTATGTGTGTGAGTATGTATTCTGTATACTTGCAACTGTTCGACATTTGGGCATGGGAGAGGAAGATCAAACTGTGCTCTGCTTGGGTAGCATCTGTTTACTCTATCTACTGTGTGTGTGTGTGTGTGTGTGTGTGTGTGTGTGTGTGTGTGTAGTCTGTAGTATCTCACAAAAAAGTGAGTACACCCCTCACATTTTTATAAGTATTTGATTATATCTTTTCATGTGACAACAATGAAGATGTCCCTTCAAAATAACACATCACACAACCATTGTCTACATGTCTTAACCGCTGGCAACAAAAGTGAGTACACCTCTAAGTGAAAATGTCCAAATTGGGCCCAGTTAGCCATTTTCCATCCCCGATGCCATGTGACTTGTTAGTGTTACAAGGTCTCAGGTGGGAAGCAGGTGTGTTAAATTTGGTGTTATCGCTCTCAAACGTCCTCATGCTGGTCACTGGAAGTTCAACATGGCACCTCATGGCAAAGAAAAAAAAGAGGATCTGAAATCCGCCAGCAATAACATCTGACCAATGGCCAGATTGCTTTGAAAAAATAAAAAATAAATTGATAGTCGCTGGTGCTGAAATAGATCTCAGTCAATAATTACTTCCTCTAAAGTGATTGTGCCTCCTAAATAAAAGCGCTAGAATGTTTTTTGCAGCAATGCTTTATGTTGAGTTTATTGAGAGGTTTTACTTGAAGGACATTCTCAAGAGACTCTGGCTTGCTTGATACACCTCTGAAAAAGCAGTCAGTAAACGTGTGATTGGATTCCCTTGAATATCCTCAGGGATGCAGTATGTGCAAGATGCGCACATACTGCGGCACTTGCTTTATTGTGAGCATGTGCAAAAGTGTCCTTATAATCAATTTGTTTAACAAGGGAGAAAATATCCACAGTTAGCTGTAACTGATCTCACAACCTTCCTAAGGATCCCCTGTGAGTCCTGCACAGTACCAACTAAGCTAAGCATGCAGGATTTGGAATCATTTGACTTTGTTCTGGCCTGCCATGTAACAGCTTGAAAAAAATTTGGCCTGATGCCAGACTTATTTGGCACCCCGTGGCCTAGGCTATAAGAAGATTGCCAAGACCCTGAAACTGAGCAGCAGCACGGTGGCCATGACCATACAGTGGTTCAAAAGGACAGGTTCCACTCAGAACAGGCCTTGCCATGGTCGCCCAAAGAAGTTGAGTGCACATGCTGAGCGTCCTATCAAGAGGATTTCTTTGGGAAATAGACATATGAGTGCTGCCAGCATTGCTGCAGAGGTTGAAGGGTTGGGGAGTCAGCCTGTCAGTGCTCAGACCATACGCTGCACAGACAACACAGGGGAGGGAAAGTGAACAAAGAGGCGTGTTGCACTCTTACTACTCACTCTTTCCCTTCATCTCTTTCTCCATCTTTCTACCTGATCATTTAAATAACAAGATTACAGTGACGTGGGAGGTGCCTCTAACATTACTTTACATCAGCTAAATAATCACTTTGCCTGTTATGTTTGTCATCGCCCAGATCCCACTGACAAGGCATTCAATACAACAATAGCTTTCACTATTGATGACAGAGAGGATTTGCTGCTATAGCAAGATTCATCAAGCTTCAGAGTGAGTGAGTGAGTAAGACAGGGAGAGACAGAGAGTCTATGTTATCATGTTTTCTATACTTGTGGGGTCTGACCAGCTTTGTGGGGACCAAAATGCTGGACCCCACAGGTTTAAAGGGCTCTTTGAGGGTTAAGACTTGGTTTTAGGTTTCAGGTTAGAATTAGGTTAGGGTTACGGTAAGGGTTAATGTTAGGCATGTAATTGTGATGGTTAGAGAGAGTGTGTGTGTGTGTGTGTGTGTGTGTGTGTGTGTGTGTGTGTGTGTGTGTGTAAAAAAAGTAAAAAGACAGTATATCATCATCAACATACACTTTTAGTTTACCGAATTATAATAATTTTCTGTCATGTGTGTGTGTGTGTGTGTGTGTGTGTGTGCCTGGCTGTATGTGGGCA